TTTTTTTTTTTTTTTTTTTTTTTTTTTTTTTTTAATTTTGCTTACGTCCCGGTGGCTTGGCGCAGTGGGTAAGTTCGTTGCCTCACATGCGAAAGGCTTCGAGTTCAAATCCCGACCGGGTAGAATGGTGCGATCTAACCATTTAAAGTCTTGATCATCATCGCAGTATACCCTAATGGGGTCGAAACGATGTAAAATAACGATAAAAAAAAAATTTGCTTACGTTTTGAGTGCTGTATGCACTTTTATAATAATAATAAATCCTATTAAAAAAATCCTCGTAGAAATGTTTTCCCTTCTTTCCGATTTTGCCTAAGTTTTGAGTGATATGTGCACTCGAAAAATTAGAGGAGTGCATGCAGCAATCCTCTTATAAAAATTAAAAAATCCGCTTGAAAAATCCTCTAAATTTTTATTTTTATTTTTCCTAGATTTGGAGTGCTATATGCACTCGAAAAATAAGAGAAGCGCACACATAAAAGGAGCACTCGAAATGTAGGCAAAATTGGAAAAAAAGAAAGAAAAATTTTGAGTTCGAGTTTTTTTTGTTATTTTTGTTTGTTCATGATCACAAACTGACTGAAAATTGTTGTTCTGTCCCGAAATTTTTTATTATTAAAGTAGTTGGTTACTGTTTAGTTGATGAATTTCATTATGAATATTTTGATGTGGGAAAAATTTGAGGGAGAGGATTAATAATTCGTTGTTTAGAAGGGAGAGAGGAGAGAAAATTTATAGGATTTCTGCTTAAAGCATCTCCACACAATCAGTTTTATTGGATAATTGAAGTTTTTTATTTTTATTTTTTTTATTAGTTGATTGGGATTCGATCTTTAATTATTTAACATGTGGATCGTTCGATTGAAATTTTAGAATCTATCGTTGGAGTATATGAAATTGTCTAGAATGATCCCATGGGGAAATATTCCCCGAAGTATTTTGTGCAAAACACACTTTTTTAGAAATGAGAGAAAATAAAAATCCATGGAAATGTTTCATACACGATGAAGCATCCGTTTATAGTACAATTTATTTCCTCTAATTGAGAATTTTATTTAGTCAGTCGATAGTGAATTTATCGATAATAGTTGTTTTAGTTATTGCTTTTAATTCTTGCGTTTAACACTTTCTATTGCCATTTGTTTTTAGGTATTTTCCCCCCGGTGTTTGAGTATAAAGTACCTTACAGTAACGTAAAAGATATTAAGAACAAGATAAAATTTTCGAAATGAGAAATAATAATAAATGTAGAGCACTGAGGATAAGACTGATGAAGACTCGAAGTGAGAAGTTTTTATTGGAAAATGGAAATAATGTAGAAATTTCACAACATTTCGTCTTTGGAAAGCATCGATCAAGCGTGTAAATATTATTACTCTTTTGTCAGGTACAAAGATTGTTTAATTGACTCTAAAGGCATTAAATTATTTCTATTTATTTATTGAATCGTTCACGCATTCCATGATATCAACATTTGAAATTCAATTGTCTGGATGATGAAATTGTTGAATAATGAATGCACTATCCAGTCTTTCAAACGTTTTGAGAATTATTAAAAAAAAGGAATTATTTTATATCCAGAATACATGACTCTTTAATTAAAAACACATAAATTTTCAATTCATGAATTAATCTAATGAATTTATTAATGAATCAATATTCTTGAATCACAAATGAATCGCGAAAAAAAATAACAAAAAAATCATATGCTAATAGTGTAATATCTCTGATTCAAGAGTATTCTTTTTTCATGTTCGAACAAGGATAAAAAACCTGCCGTCTTATACGCCGATAAATTAATTAAAATACTCCACTCAAAGGAAACCGAATGAATCGAAAAAAATGTGATGCTGACAATTCGCTCAAAAATAACGGCCTGATGTGGACAAAGAGGCGGTGATTGTCGAGTGCAATCAGCTTCAACGAAAATGATTGACTAATCAAATTAAACTTTTCTATTCATCATATTTTTTCTCCAATTTTTTTGTACGTAGAGAGAGATGAACAGAGAAAAACGAAAATCATAATATATTCCATCGGACTAGGACGACCTAAGCTTATTAATTATATCCGCGTGTACGTACAGACGCACAATATTTTACGAAACATCAAATTTTGGTGGTGAATGAGAATCAATACCGGAGTATTTCACGTTCAATTGTAATAAAGGTAAATAGCTAGTAAGTAAAACGAATTAAAAACTTTTCTTATTTTGAGAATAAATGAATTTGAAATGATAAAAAAACGTCTGCATTACTCATGTAGGATAGGACCAAAATAACATTCTTCATGTGTTTTCGCACTGAATTTTTATTCTTCCTTCTCTTATTTACAATTAATAAAATTCTTTCACCCTCTCACAATGACTCACTCGCGAATATCAACGAGATATTAAATGCCAACGAACTTAACGATGAATTTCCTTCACATGTTCGACCCTGTCTCATCGACAATCAAATAACTCGAAATGTTCCATAAGTATGAGCGACTCGAGAACGAAAAAAAAACAGAAAAGAAAAATTCATTCGTCATTAAATTTTCTGTTTCGCCTAGTCGGTTCCCCACCGGCTACCAAAGCTCTATACAAATTTCATTTTAATCCTCATTTTTCCTAATGTACACACTCACCCATTCACACCTCCTCCGTTTACTTATCTCTAATTTCATATATAATATATATTTATATTTATTTATAATAACATTCCCCTCATTCTCCCAATAACCCTTGGCCCATAAATCGTAATGATTACTATTTTCGCTTTATCCGTAGTTTACGAGGAATGTGTACGTATAATTCCCAACGAATGCACCATTTAGTTAAACTCCATTCCAAAAAATTCATTTTTTCAATGAACATGATTAAAATTCCATTACAATCCGTGTATGAAAAAATTTGATAGAAAAAAAATCTAGTGCTTTCAACAGATATATTTCCATATAAAAAAACTCGTTCTGTTGCAATTTTTCAGTGAAAATTCTTGAACATAAATTTTCAAAATTTGCATTCTTGCGAAAAAAAATTGGAAAATTAAGACTTTTCTACTATTTATGTTTTAGTTCATCTCCATTGTTGTTAAATATCCAAAAATGTCAAGAGATATTGGAGAAAATGAAAACAATATTCATCTAATTGTCATTTTTCGATGATTCGTTGATTATTTTAGGGTCATCAGGCTCTGGAAAAATGCATACAAACAAAGAATAAATAAATACACCCGACTGTCACATACCTGTGCAATTAGATAAATGTTGTATTCATTTTCTCTAACGTCCCTTGACATTTTTGGACACTTAAAACTTTTTGCAAAACATTCATCAAGAATTCAATAGAATTATAAAAAGACACCTTTTTTCTTTGAAATTAATTCATACACGATCCTCAGGAATGAAACGTCCCATGTGATAACTTCAAAGCATTTATCCTCCCCCTCTCAATGCATCAGCATGATTATCACATTATTGTATTTAATCTCCCATTCAGCGAAAAAAAAAAGTGAATTGAACACAGTCGTTCGATATATCAATCAATAAGTCTTACTTGACATACTGCTTGTAGCTATATTTATATTAATTACCTATTCTTTCAGCATTTATTTAATCGATTTATTACTTAAGTAATGTATGTATATATTTTCAAATTCACCTTTTTGCATTTTTTCATTTTTTTTAATTACACTATAAAATGTGAAAACTTGCGCTTAAGAAAAATGTTTAAATGCGATGAGCAACGGAGTTCAGCTTTCTGTTATATTTTCATCAATAATTAATTCAATAATCTCATGTCACATTGTTTGTCTATTACCATTAATCTCTCACTCGTCACGCACTATTGGAAAAACTCAGGCGTTTGATGGCTCTTGTATCATTCAAACATGTGGGCAGAAAACACCAGTTAATTCAAATAGTATGTTTACACTTTTCTATTCAATAGTTCTTGTTTTTATTCTCCACACAACTATGTCTCTTTCTTATCCAGTGCATTAATGTCGATGGTACGATTATTTAAATTTATTTATCATAGTTTAGAATATACTTTGGTATAGCTCCAATGGCAGCGATTAATCTGAAATATACATATACTTGTGGATATCGTTACAATAATAATTATTTATCAATTTTCCTTTTATTCATTTTGGTATTATTAGGTTTCTTATCAGTACATACTGCGCTCTCTGTCTTTAGAATTTGGAAGATTGGCAATCAATTTGCATCGTTCATTCGTTTTATTTCTCTCAACTTTTCGTGATATTTCGGGGGATGGTGGGGTGATTTGTTGAAATTAATGGCAGTTTATTTCGGGAAATTATAAAAATAATGGTGGGGGGTTGTTCACTTTGAGTGAAGAAAATGTTGAATACACGGAGAAAAAAATCACACGGAAGATTACTGTAGTGTCTAGATTATTGGACAGAAAAATTCAAGTCGATTTGACTGTTGCTCAGTTTTCAAGGAATATCTCGGAATTTAAGGCAGATAGCAAAATTTTTGTCAGAACCTTTTTTGTAGAGCGGGTTAAGACCTGCAAAAAACGTAATTACGAAAATTTCGCTATCTCCCTTGGATTCAAAGATATTCCTCAAAAACTCAACTTAGAGGTAAATCCACATAAATCGTTTGTAGATATTTTTTCACAGGGTTTTTCTTGAATTTTTCGGTGATTGTTTTCTCGGTGTAGACATTAATAAATATTTGATTTAAACCGTTTCACCTCTTCCCTCTAAAAATGTGCGCAGATGAAGTTTCAATGAAATAGTATGGCCTTTAGCTATTTTGCGTAATTTTCGTAATTTCAATTCATTTTTTATAATTCTCTCTTGTTTACGAAAAATCTATAAACCCAGGCATCGCAATGAATACCTAATGAATGTCCAGATCCGACGAATGGACCCTGTTTACCTATACAAATCGTAGCAGACTATCAAATTCTACGCTATTGAAATTGTCTCGTTTATTTACTTCTTTCGTTTTCCTGCGGATGCAATTGTTACGTCATAAAGTCCCGTTCTGCGTCTCGTGAACTTATTTGTGCAGGGAAATGGTGTAAAGAATTGAGTCTCGCAGGAAAATTTCACGGGAAAACCTGGCGAATTCAATAGAAAATTCTATTGTATTTCTATTGAACTTCTATGGGAAATTCTATAAGTTTTTGTAATAGGAATAGGAATTCCTCGATGTGAATTCTTCATTTTTTTCATTCTATTTATCTTCGAAGAAGGCTTCATTGAAGAAAAAACTAAAAAAAGGAAATTTGAGCCGAGGATTTTCTATAGGAATTCCTCGTCAAGAATTCTCCAAATTTTTACCACTCAAATTCTCTCTTCCTTGAAAAAAAAACGCAAAAAAAATTACAAAATTTGAGCCGACGGATTTCTATAGAAAATATCTGAATAGATTAAGTTGCATAGAAAACTCGAATTCTATAGATTTTTTCTGTAGATTATTTTCCATTAAACATCTCTATTGAAAAAAACGCGCAAATAAGCGGCGGAAATTTCTAAAAGAATCGGCGAAAAATTAATATAAAGTTCAATAGAATTTTCTACCGAATTCGCTATATTTTCTATGAATTCTTTCGTACGTCGTTCAGTAGAAAATCTTTGCAGTCTCCCCCAAAATCCGAAAATAAATGGATAATTATTCGAAAATATGAATTACAAATCCCACTCCATCAAACTTACCTCTTTCTTCCACTTGTCCCCAAAAATTCGTTCAATCCGAGAAAGAAAAATGAAAATCTTTAGACCCTTAACGTTAAACCAACGCGTCTTACCCCTAAAATGCACACTTAAACTCCGGTTTTACAATGTTTCATTTTAATGATACCCCCTCCATTGCAGCCGCAACGCGCGATGAAAAAAGTCACGTGTTTTCAATGCAAAATAGACTGTAAGTTTTTATTTTTATCGCATTTTTACTTTGAACAGTATTTTTCGTTGTAATGGCAAAATATATCGCGTTCATCATTTTCTTCACAATAAAAAAGATTGAGTTGACGCGTTTTATTTCTTTGAATGACTCGCAGGTACCAGCCTACAATGTTCCTCCTTCTTATATCATTTATTACATTACAAAAATTATGCAATCATCTACAGATAAATCACGTGATTTTTCTCATCCAAAAAGTTTTCCCCTTATTTCGATGTTAATAATATTTTTTTTTCATTACTCCTTTTGTTGTTTTTTTTTCGATAATGTAAAATCCGAATGATGATCTAATGGTTTTTCATTAAATTGCGTGCCAATTATCTATGCTATGTATCACATATATGTAATAATACGTATATGTATGTACAGACATACAAGAATTATGCAAAATGTCTTTACATCCTCTCGGGGCGCCTCACAAACGTCTCTATCCATTCATGATTCCCCTGTTCCTCAAATGACGAGTGAATAATCTCCGGGCTATGATTACCCACTTGGCAATGACGATTAATACAGACTTGTGTGTGTAATTCTTCATGAAGTGGCACTGACTCAGCTGCCCAAATTTTTTTTCTCATCAATTTTCGTCTCTTTTTTCATCAACAACAAACAAACAACAATAACAACAAATTACTCATTTTTTTGTTTATAGGCGTCGATGATAAGAGCTGATGTTTCTTCATAATTTCGTTGAGAGGCCGTTGGAGTTAAAAAAAAATACTGAAATCCGGGGAAGACGTTGAGTCATGAATTCTCGGGCAAAGGGGGATGAAAAAATCTGAAAAATATCTTTAAAAAATGGTTCTTTAAAGATAGAGGCGAAGAGGATAAAGAATTCAAAGGAATGGTCGAATATACGGGGTGGGGAGGTCGCCATCTTTGAAGCAAGATGGCGGCGCCCACATTTATCAACCACCTCGTACTTTTGAAGATTGAAAAAAATTATGTGTTTTCTTCAGATTAATGTCAACTTGTTTCATCTAGTTGATAAAAAATGAACAAATTTTTTGAGCTATCATTCGTATTTTTAGATCTTCTTTTCACTGAGAATTCATGTCGCAAATTTTTTTCAACTCGTAAGGCCTCTCAATCAATAAGTGAGATGCGGAGATTTCCAGAGTTGATCTGAGAAGCAATATACAAAGATTTGGATATTCAAAATGCATCATCCCCTCATTTCACTAATTCATCGTGATTTTTAATTCAAAAGGGGATAGAAAAATATGAAAAATATCGTTAAAAAATAGTTCTTTGGAAGAAAGAGATGAAGAGGATAAATAATTCAAAGAAACATCTAAACAAGATGAACATAAAAAACAATAATTCATCCCCTTCAGATCACCCTCAACTCGCTCCATCAAATTAATAAAAAATGAGCAAATTTGTTCTGCTATTTTTCACATTTTTCCATTCTCTTTTGGCCGAGAACTCTTAACGCAAGTGTTCTTCACCCCCAAGGCCCCTCAATAAATAAGTGAGATGCGGAGATTTCCAGAGATGATCTGAGAAGCAATGTACAAAGATTTGGGCGATAATAATGCATAATTCGATCGCACTGGATTCCAAAAATTACCTTAAACTGCACAATCCCCTCATTTCACTCATTCGATTTAATCACTTTAGCGGAGATTCTGTGAGCAATGTCAATGATCCTATGAATTCTCCTGCCTTCAATGCGCGTAATAATAATGAAGCACAATGGTCACGGGCTTTCAGGGCTGCTGACCTCCTCCCCACAGACGTGTTCACTGTCGCTCGGTGGACTCGGTTGATCCAAATGATACTGATCAGTGTAATTGTGGCTGTGTCCGTGGCTGTGCATACTCGATGTACGCTGGGGTAAACTGTGATGACGATAGCAGTAGCGCACATCCTCGACTCGTTGCTGCATATCGTCAATGTGCACCTCTTGAGCACGACGTTTGAGCTTGCGATGACACAGGAGACAGATTAGCAGGGCTAGAGTGACAGCTGCTGCTGCACCAGCTGCCGGAATAGCGTAGCTCACTGGTGGCACTATTGTTGTACCTAAAAATCATCATTCATCACGCACGAAAAAATTTCATGGAAAAATCTTGCGAATTCTGGAGGAAATTCTATTGGATTTCTATTGAATTTTCTATCGTTTTCGGTCGATTCTATTGAAATGTTCAAGAGAAAATATTCAGCAGAAAAATTCAATAGAATTCGATTTTGCTACATAAATTATTCTATTGGGTTTTCTTATAGAATTTCCTCGGTTCAAATTTTATAAGTTTTTTTCATTCTATCAAGAATGAAAAATTTTTCTGCTTAACAAGAAGATCAAACAAAAAACTTGGAAAATTTGAGTCGAGGAAATTCTATAGAAAATATCTTATCAGAATAAGTTATATAGAAAAATCGAATAATATTGACTTTCTGTTGAATATTTTCTATTAAACATTTTAATAGAATTGGCCAAAAATTAATAGAAACTAATTCGCTAGATTTTTCTATTAAATTTTTTCATCCGTGTTGGGCTTAATCCAAATGACTTGATCATTTTTTAACATTTCGACATCATAAACTTCATCACCTCGCATTAGCTAACGACCGCAGAGGCCAATAACTTCGAAATAATTGAACTTCTGTTTAAAATTCTATTTCTTCTCGATTCTATTGATTTTTTCTACACAATATTTTCCATTGAAAAATTCTATTGAAAAAAACCTACACAAGCTGCGCAATTTCTCAATAGAATCAGCCAAAGTAAACAGAAAGCTCAACAGAAATCCAAAAAAATTTTCTACAGAATTCTCTAGATTTTTCAATGAAATTCTTTCGTACGTGACAAGTCACAGATTCTATTATCAAAATCGTTATGTAATTTTAATGGACTGGGGAAGTGCTCCAAACATCGAGGAAGAAGAGAAAATAGAACATTCAGATATCTCTGACGTGCACTTATTCTTAGACCAAAGCCAGTATCATTCAGATCAGATTATCCTCATGCAGTTTTTCTGTTGTTTTGGATTTATCATCGTATACCTGCGTATTTAATATTTACTCAAGTGTTTATTTAATGATTTATCGAATGCGGCATCAGCGGGCTGCATCGAGACTCCAGAACTGTATCGTTATACTGTTGAAATTGTTTTCTGATTGTATTTTTGTGAGTGGACTCACGTGATTCAAAGAAGAAGATTTGTTCGTGATAGAAGTCAGTTGGAAGGCGCAGGAAGGCCTCAGATGGTGACGAACACAAAGCACAGACAGAGAAGAAGCATGTCAGAGAGTCCAGCCAGTGCTGGTGCCAGTGGGGCTGATGCTGTACCTGCGAGAGACATCACAAGACCATTCACAAACCCCCCATTTTTGGTTAATGATTGACGGTGTTCTGCAGTGTCACCTCGAGCTCTGGGTTTTCTTCGTTAGTTTGTGATGAAGATTTGAGATATTAATGCTGGTTTATTTTTTAGATTTTTTATTGCCCGGGGATAATACATGCTTCGTGCAGTTTATGGGGACTAGACATTTAGGGGAGGCATCGGTCGAGGAAGGAGGCGTTCATTCTTGCATCAGGGGGGAATTCAAAATTTTTAATTGAGTTTTGTTGCGAAAATCGAAATTGTGTATTCAATTGATTGAATTTCTTTGAGTTTTTTTCTTTAAATTTACTCGTTCTGTTATGTTTTACGAATTATGTGGCGTTAATGATGAAAATTGGAGATAAAAATGAGTCATTCCAGATCAAAAATAATTTTCAATGGAATAATCATCGTTGAGATGATGTAACTGATGGAAAACATTGATTTTCATCGATAATTGACTCATTTTTAGGGGGATGTTGTTGAGTTCGTTTGAGGGAGAATAAATTCACTGAAAATCCCAGACGGTGGGAATTCTCTAAAATAGAGAATAATAGGGCTTAATCGATTAATCAATTTTTACATAAAGATCCAACCTCATGAAGCCAATTGCGGAAGCAAATTTAACTCTCCAGAACTTGGAAATTTCATGAAAAATAGTAGTAATTTTTAGGACAATGACATTGAATTTGATTCAGAAGGGAAAAATCTTGAAATTCCAATTAGTTTAAAATTCCCAAGAATTTAAAAAAATCATAGAAAAATCCCGCGAATTCGCTGGACAATTCTACTGAAACATTCGATGGAAAATAATCTATAGAAAAAGTCAATTGAATTCGATTTTTCAATACAACCTATTTTATTGAGATATTTTCTATGAAATTTCTTCGCCTCAATTTTTCAAAGTTTTTTTTGTTTGATTTTCATGATGAAAAAAAACGAAAAATAGAATGACAAAAACTTGGAAAATTTGAGCCGAAGAAATTCTGTAGAAAATATTTCAATAGAACAAGTTGTATAAAATAATCGAATTCTATAGAATTTCCTTGGTTCAAATTTTCTATTGAACATATCAGTAGAAATCCAATAGAATTGTCTAGCGAATTCCCTAGGTTTTTCTATTAAATTGTTATCACCTGAATTTTCTTGGTTTCTATGAATTTTCATGGAATAATTGAGCTAAAATTGCCATTTTCGAACTATAATGCGCTGAAAATGTAATATTTTCCGATATCATATTATTTCCGTGATATTCACTATCCGTTGCCATCCCAAACTCACTCATTACGCCACGTACCGAACGAGACATGTATCCGGAGGTGATAGTCATGCACTTCATCATTATAAATACCGAGATACTGTTATTAATTAGACATGGAGGGACACACAGTCGTTATCATAAGAAAGAGGTGTTCAAAAGGAGAGATTACAGATGCCCGTGAATGCTAGACACAGCAGAGATAGTAAAATAGTCGTGAGGCATTGAGGACAACAGCGAAAAAACGTAAAAAAATATACGGAGATGTTGGTATTATTTTTAATATTTGAGTTGTCAATTGCCTTAGATTAATTTTTCGTTTACATTATTTTCATGACTCACAGTTGTCCTCGTCGGACCCGTCTTCAGGGCCGCAGTTATCGATATTATTGCAACGAAGTGTTTCGGCAATGCAGTATTTGCTTTTTCCACAGTTAAATTCGTCGGGCTCGCACTCTGGGGCGAGGGATACTTCTGTCCAGACGGCACGGAAACCGAGTTGGCCTACGGCTTTGTCGGACGATATAAAACTAGAATGAGGATTTAATAGTTGAGAAATTCTCGTGGAGAGAGGAAGAGAGGAAATTTAATGAAGAAACAGTTGATGAAGTCCAATGAGGAAAATTAAATAAATAATTATTTGGTGAAGAGGAGGAAATGAAGAAATCTTTCATCATTTGATCATCAAATGATGAAACTATAATGAAAAAAAGTGGAATAAGGGAAATTGAATGAAGAAAATAGAATGTGAAAATAATGGATAAAGTCTAAAGAAGAAAATGAAATGAAGAATCATTTAATAAAAATGATAAAGTGAATAAAATGAAATAGATTCAAAAAATCAATGAAGAAATTTTGAAGGAATCCCAGTGGAAAAAAAATGAATAAAGAAATATGTAAAGGGTTTTTATGAATGGAAGGGATCACAGAAGATGAAATCATTATTCATTAATTCATGAATGTAACGAATTACCTTAAACGCATGTTATTGTCATCTGACATGTAGCTCCAACTAACTTCCGTGGGCTTTCCACCACAGAGTTCGATTGGAGGTGATGTCAGTGAGAACCACATGCGCAAAACAGCCGCTGGACAGCCTCTCGCTGTGGAAAAATACCAATTCCACGTTAGGAATATTAGAAATGCCAGTGGCGAGGAGAGAAGAGTATTGTTCATTAATTATGACTTGTATTATTTTACCAGACTGCTCGCCCTCGACGGAAAACAACTCGAAATTGAGCAGTATCCTGTGATTGGGACGCACACTGATGAACCAATTGCACGTTTTACTCGCCATGTGCTTCGGTGGTCCGTCGTATTTATCCGGAAAATTTGGGCTCGTTATCAAGCCATAGTCGAGGCTACTGATATTTGCGCCACAATCTGTTCAAGGGGAACCGGTAATTAATAATCGTTAGTTGGGCATTGGTGAATTTTTATTGAAGAAAAGAGAGTTGCAGAAAATATTTCTTCAATTTTTTTTTCAACATAATGCCGCAGTGAATGAAAAAATTCTACATAAATTCTGTGGAGTTTCTATGAAAATTCTGTATATTTTCTATGGCAGATATAGAGAAAATTTTTCCTCGTGAAGAATTTTTTCTTGCGAAAATTCTCCTCACAACACAAAAATGTCTACCAGAGGAAATTATTCAATAGAAAACAAACAAAATTTTCACCGAAAAAATGTTGTTACGCCCAAAATGCCTCATAAACATTGAAATTATTCAGTTATTCATCGCGAAAAATTCTCCACTCCTTCCAGTAATATTAAATTTGATGAAAATATCATCAGAATAAATAACAATTGTTATCATTAATCATTAAAAAAATTAAATTCCATAACTATCATTGTTATCTCTACTATTTATATTATTTTACCTCCGAATATAGATTTCGTAACTTCGAACGTATACCGTGCCTTGAACCCACTATAAACGAGTTCCGAGTCGGAATGAAGTATAACTTTGAGACCGAGAGCCCCAAGATTCGATTCCACTGGACCTGGCGCCGTCATCCAGCAATAACGCCCGATCAATTTCTCAGTGTTATCGCGATACATATTGTATATTTCCAACCAGTCGTCCTGACACACTTCCGCACTGAAAGAATTTGACAATGCCAAATTGAAAGGATGGTATCGTAAAATTGGAGATTTTTTATGAAAGACATTATAGAGAATTACCCATAATGTCCAACAGTTAAATTAACGTTGCTCGTTCGGACCTTGAAATGATCAAATACGAGGGTAACTTGTTCGTTTGGCGTTGCCAAAAATAGATAAGTGCAATTTGTATCGCTTGGATAATTGCTCGGATATCTCGGGGAATTGAATTCGCCCTTTTTACGGGAAGAACTGCGATACGTAAATGTGCAACTGCCGTCTGGGGCTGCTGTGCCTGGGATCTTGTATTCTGTTTCGAAACTGTATCTGGAGATTGCAGATTAATTTTGGATTATTATAAATTTTGGGAATACTTCATGAAATCACGAATGAACAAATTGAACTGAAAATTCTTGTTTCTGTATTTTTTGAAATTACAAAATCAAAGAAGAAACACTTCGAAAATTAATTTGAAAACATTTTTTTCAAACAAAATTTCTGTTGAAAAATTCCATTCTCTCCATTATTATTTGAGATCATCTTGTATAAATATTTTTATTTTGTGGAAAAAATTGAAAATTCTGAATTTTTCTGCTGCGTGTTGTTAAATTACAAAATCAAAGAGAAAAGACTTCAAAAATACATTTGAAATCCCTTTTCAGGAATTACATAATTTCAAATGAGTTAAATTTTCTTTCGAAATTTATTCATACGTGATTTCATTGATCAATATTAGCGTGAGACTCCCTGCAATGATTTCAATCTTCACAATTGACATTTTTCCCATTAAATTCATTATAATTTTGTCAAATTATTGAACAATCGATAATTCATTTTGACTCAATTAATTATTCGTAGCTAAATATCAACTTTAAAATTGGAAACAATCGAATTGAAAATGGAATTATCAGAAGACCAATTTCACAACAAAAAAATCTCCACTAAAAAATGCTCAATTTCCGGATTCATACGTACTTTGCTTTGAAACCACGACCCTGCTTGGACTCACCACTGCTGAATACCATAACGAGTCGCGGTCCATCACTAACTACTTGGCTCGGATTGCTTTCATTGCCGCACATCTCGTAATCGAATTTGTCATATGAGTCTGTCGCCTCCTGGCCTTTCAAGTAGATCTTCAGATAACCGTCTGTACAGGCCGAACTATAAATTCATTGAATCATTTATCATCTGTGTTATTCACTAAACTCAAGAGACAATTCCAAATTTGACAATTTATGATTTACATGACACATGAAACACATTTTTAACTAAAAAATGAGTCAATTTTGGACATATTTTATTGTAAATTCTGTATTTATTCATTTCATTCTACATTCAATTTTTATTATGGATTCTAGAGATGAAATTTCTATCAAACTTTAAACATTCAAATTTTAAACAAAACTTAACGACTTATACAGCTATAATGCATTGGTAATGATGCTATAATGAAGAGAAAAAAAAAAAAGATATGAGAAGTAAAAAAAAAACAATTATCTATAATTATCATTTAATTGCAAGTTTAATTGAACGTTTCAACCCTTGAAATTGAAATGTAATTATATCGGAATGTTAAGAAAATCGCAACAATGCTCTGAATCCGAAGCACTTACTCTCCCTTGGCCTCCCCTTTCGTGATGTCAAAAGTCTGAAATTCAAGCCTGACACGTTCAAGATGCTGGGAGTCCTGCATTCCATAAATGAAGTAACGACAAACGACCTTCGGTATGTAAGGATAAGGATAGTTGGGGCTGACGACAGGTCCCGAAGACTCCTTCATACTAAGTATTTTCTGATCACACTCGGATCCCCGTATGTGCATTCCCCCTGAATTGTTTATGAAATCTGCAAAAATAAATATTGCAGGAGAATTTTCACTATCTGTTATAGACAAATTTTTCTACCGGGAAACGTGAATTTTTTTGTCGAATAATTGTCCTACGTATGAGTTTTCTTGCTGAAAAGAAAATTTATAGAATAATTTTATAGAACAATTTATAGAATTCTACAGAAAGTCCTTGCCCCACTATTGCTACGCAATTCTTGGTTATAGAATTGCGTGAAAGCATGGTTATAGAAATTCTATAGAGTTGCTATATAAATTCTATAGATTTTTTAGGTAGTCTATAGAAAAATATAGAGCACCTATAGAAATTCTATAGTTTCTATAGCAGCTCTATATAATTTCTGTAGGTGCTTTATATTTCGATCTGCTATGGAAACTATAGAATTTCTATAGGCGCTCTATATTTTTCTATAGACTTTATATATGGCCTATATAGAAGTTTTTGAGTGTTGTTATGGGAGCCCCATAAGATTTCTATAGAAACTATATACGTTTTATATGGAAAGGCTATAAGATTGCTATATCAATTCTATAGGGAGATGGCTCTATATAAATCCTATAGAAAAAACTGCAGTATAAAAATCTCTATATATTCTATAGAATTCCTATAGAGAAATATTCCTGCTGAAATCATTCTATAGAAAATTTTCCAACATGAAAAAATTATTTGTAAAAATTCTCGCAATTCTCCCTGAAAGAGTGAATTTTTGCATCAAAAAGTCTCTCTTCCCCCGGAAAAATTGTTTCATACACAAAGTTCCTCATAAATATTGAAATTACCTAATTTAACAAAACCCTCGGAGAACTCAAAGATGCCTTTGAAGCCTCGATTTTGGGTGTTAGCTGTGCGCTGAAGGGTTACAAAGAGCACAGTGAGATTTGCCTGTGATGAGTAGAGAACGAGATTACGCTGTTGACCGCAGTAAGTTCCAATTACAGGGGCCGACTCGTCCAGGCCATCGAACACCTTCACGTAATCAAAAGGGCAGCTGAAATGGAATTCCCATGTTACCACCAATCTAGTGTCGATAAATTGTTCTGGATGGTGGAGGTAAATTTATCACGTACTGTGGACCTCCGAAGAAGAGATCAAAATCCCGGAACTCGAGTCTCACCCTCTGGCCACTGTTACCCATGAATTTGTAGGTGCACGCGAGATTTTTAGGATAAGTTCCAGGGTATGTTGGTGATAGGATTGTCCCGGTACGCTTTATGGTGGAGTTCACCACGAAGGAGCATGGTGTACTTGGTGCTGGTGTACCGACTTCGTATTCAGCTGGTGAATTGGGGGATAATTATTGGGCTGTTGATTTTTTTTTGTTAAATTTTGTGCGTCAGGAGGAAGGATTTATTTTAATCGAATAAATGGGTTTACTCGAGTGAGTTGTTCATTTTTCACGGATGAAAAAAATTAATAAAAACACCTAGCGAATTTGCTAGAATATTCTATTGGCTTTCCATTGAACTTTCTATTAGTTTTGACAGATTCTATTGAAATGTTCAATAGAAAATACTCTATAGAAAAAGCTAAAAGAATTCGGCAACTTATTCTATTGAGACACCTTCTATAGAATTTTCGCGGCTAAAATTTTCCATGTTTTTTTGTTTGATTTTCTTAATGAGAAGGAAAGAAAAATAGAATGAAAAAAACTTGGAAAATTTGAGCCGATGAAATTCTATAGGAAATATTTAAAGAGAATAAGTCATAGAAAAGTCGAATTCTATTTATTTTTTCTATTGAATATTTTCTACTGAACATTTTCATAGAATCGGTCCAAAACTATTAGAAACGTCAATAGAATTTTTTAACGAATTCGCTAGGTTTTTCTATCAAATTTTTGTCATTGAAAATTCACAATTTGATGAAAAATCAATGGAGACTGTAAATTTTAGTTCAATTATTTCATGAAAATTAATAGAATTTTGCGTCATTTGGCGCTGAATATTCACAACTTTTAAAAATTTTTATCAATTGATAATTCCACTGAAAATTCAAAGGAATTGAGAAATTCTCACTGCAGCTAAAAAATTTAATTGAATTTCCAGTAAAATATGAAATTCCATGATTTTTTCTCCGTTGAATTGAATTCAAGAAATCAAAATCAGAAAATTCAAATTTTCATTAAAACTCAAATTTTTATTCACATGTAATTTATAGATTTAAATTAGAACGGACGTTTTAATAATCCACATAAACTCCCATCTGTTGTAATCATAAATTGCTTCATTCAACATTAATAAATTCTTCATTAATAATTAATTTCACATCATCCCAATAAAGCGCAGTTGAAGAGAAAAAATCACACTGAAAAAATCCCGAATTGGATTAATGACATTTCACTCTAAAATTCCAAACTCCGGTAATTATCCGATGAAATGTTAATCAATCCCGACGCTGCATGCCATTGCCCTTCTGAATAATTGAATTTCTCCCTTGGAAATGGTCATAGCCGCGCCGGCACAAATTGAGACAATCATAAATTCCATAAAAAATTCATAAACTCACAGGCGTTGATGAAAGAGTAACGACCGCTGAAGAGAGTCGATAGTGTTATATTCTTATCCGTGAAGAAACTGAGGGCAATCCCCTGATACATTGACACGCGTCGTCTCGGTGGTATTGGACCGCAGTAACGACCACCGAAGGGTGTCTCTATCAGCTTGGTAGCATTGTCTGAGCGTATCTCCGTGTATACATCCATGTACTCGTGAAAACATCTGGAAGAATTCATCGGAAAACTCGTTAACTGTTACATTTGACACACAAAAAACTCTGGGGAAAATCAATCACCGATTGGAGAGCCTCGGGGTATATTGCCCTTTTTAATTGCGCCAAAAAGATATTTTTAAAAATGTAATGGTAACATTCTTCTGAATTTTATTGAAAACGTTATTTATTATGCGGAAGTATTCAACAGAAGGTATTTTTTCATGAGAAAATATGGATTTCAATTTTTTTATTTGTTTTATTCCCTTAAAATTCAGGCTTAAATTTTCAAAGTGCAGAATAATTAGGGGTAGAGAAATGAAAATGCATCCCTTTCATTATGCGCTTTTTCCTGCCAGATTCGATATTCTTTTTTTCAATTAATTGTTTATAACCGTTCTCATTGCGAAAAACAATGCGATCGATGAGAATCATGTGTCCCAATTTATCAGCTGTTAAATTTTCATATTACAATAAATGATTTGCTCATGTTCTAATTCCTACGCTCACTGAATAAGATTTTAATCATAATTACAATTCAATTCCTTCTAGAATACACTTTAGAGTGTGAATTTCTGGAATTCAATTTTTGTTGATACTCTGGTAAAAGTGCAGAAGAACTCGAAAATATCTTTTATAAAACGTAATATCTCCCGACTTCGAGAATTGATTTCTCCCCGTTGTTTTTCATGTGAATTAATCTCCTCCAAACATTCATGGAACGAGGGACTAACGTCGGCATTCGACTGGACTCTATTCTCTCTTCATCCCAAGAAATGAGAATGAATGCATAAATTATGAAAACCAATCTTCGTATGTTTCTTTCTCATGCATTCGAACACACATAACGACATCAAAACGTATATTCAACATAACGCAATGTATTCCATTACAGTATCTGCGGTTGCCCCTGAATTTTTCAATTTTCATTTCAATATTAAATTCAAATGTCCGTTTCAGTCGTTTTCCGGGGGAGTGAGAGCTGGAGGTAGTGTATTAGGTGTGGGAATACTGGAATACTCACGCAGGTAATTCCCCAACAGCAGCTCCACTGCGAGTTCATCCCAGGCAGCGAACACAAATCACATCACGTATTTACGTAATTTTTTTTACGTTTTTTTTTCGTTTTGGCTTTGGGGGATAGATTTTTTTCGCGAGGCATTTCTGCGATTTGCACATTTAGTTGGGCAGTCTACAAGCGTCGGGGCGGGTGAATCGTCTAGTGGAAAATTCCGTGGGGGCTCAGACAGTCCGAAAACACTATTTTGTTCAATGAATCATTGACTTTAATTTAAAATACATCGGCACAGAAATTCCATTCGGAAGCTACTAATTTAAAATGATAAGTTAAAATAATATGTAAAAAAAAAAAAAATAATAAGTTACTAATTTAAAATAATTACTAATTTAAAACTAAACTAAAAATATCTCAATAAAATAGGTTGTATAGAAAAATCGAATTCAATAGGTTTTTTTCTATAGAATATTTCCCATTGACTGTGGAATTTTTCAACAAAATCGGCTAAAAACAAAAATGCAATAAAAATCCAACAACATTTTTTTAACGCGAAATTTCGAATTTAATTTTCGAAAAATGACGAGAAAATTAGTGACCTTTGAAATTAAAAGAATAAATTTGAGGCTAGACGATTCCCTCATAAAAAAAACGCATGGAAATTGTAACAAAATTAATTGTAATTCACATGCAACATATAAACTGAACCTAAACTCCTCCAAAACTCGTTGTACTCACTCTGGAGGAGTGCCGCGAAGTGCGAATGAAGTGAAAACAACCTCGACCCGTTGATGTGGAGCCGCGAGGAAAGTGTAGACACACTGCTGGGATTCACCTTCTGGATTGATCAGAGTTGGCGCGTGAAACGTGCCATTCTGCGATCCACCAGGTATACTGACGAATGTTTGGTCGCACCCTGGGCCGAAATGACAGCATAAAATTGCCGCATAAAAATTCCAGTCATAGAGAAATAAAACTTGAATTGCCAAGAGAAATGAAGACAAAACCCAAGAAAATTGCAACGAAAAACTGTTCAAAAAATTCTCTATCTAGCATCAGCCTCTCAAAAAAAATCCTTAACGCTAAAATGTTCCACACAGAATCCAAAAAGTCCATAGATGTACTCACATAAACCGACGATCTTGAGTTTTAGAAACAAAAACCATCTCGAGAAAGAAAAAAATTATCGAATTGATTATTGAAGTTTGAAATTTCCAGAATTTTAAAGGCTTTTAATAAATCGTGAATTTGATTTTCATTTTCATTTCTACTTAGATTAAATAAATAGCTTTTAAATACGAACAATTCCGTTTTAATCCACATCAAAACTTCGTTAATTAAAAACAATTCAACTTCTATTTTATTTATTTTATTTCGGTAAATTATTTATTTCGAATAACTGATTTGATCTAATTAAAACATTATCATCGATGAATACATGAGTTTATCAATTTCCAAGGGAAACATTGTTGAAATGCATACAAAATTTTCAAATTATCTCAATAACGAATAGTTGAAGGGGAACTCAATAAAAAAATTCTAAATTGCATTCAGGACAGTTCAATCTAAAATTCCAAACTCTCGTAACTATCCGATAAAATGTTAATTAATCCGGGCACTGTCCAGCGCCCAAAAAGTCCACAGATGTACTCACATAAACCTATAATCTTGAGTTTTAGAAATAAAAATCATCTCGAGAAAGGAAAAAAATTATCGAATTAATTATTGAAGTTTGAAATTTCCTGAATTTTTCAAAGCATTTAAATATGCACAATTTCTTTTTAATCCACATCAAAAAAACTTCGTTAATTAAAAACAATTCAACTTCTATTTTATCTATTTGATTTTGGTAAATTATTTATTTAGAATTACTGATTTGATCTAATCAACACATTATCATCGATGAATACATGAGTTTATCAATTTCCAAGGGAAACATTATTGAAACAAATAAAAAATTTTCAAATCACCTCAATAACGAATAGTTCAAGGGGAACTCACAGCAAAAAAATTCTAAATTGCATTCATGACAGTTCAATCTAAAATTCCAAACTCTCGTAATTATCCGATAAAATGTTAATCAATCCGGGCACTGCCCAGCGCCCAAAAAGTCCACAGCTGTACTCACATAAACCAACGATCTTGAATTAAAAAAAAATCATCTCGAGAAAGGAAAAAAAAAATTATTGAATTGATAGTCGACATACTTGGTGTTTTGGCAGTGGTGATGGGTCCCGGTGGTGGTGGTGGTGGCGGTAGGGATGGTACGTAGTCTTGCTGTGGCAGTGGCACATCAATTACCTCGCGGCCTTTTCGTATTATAACAATAATCGTTTACAATTGATTAATCACACGAAGATTGTTGTCGAAGTTGGTGTAGTCAGAGTCGTGGGGAAGAGTCGTGTGTTTTAAAGCAGATAGAAGATGACCCCCAACCAACGTATGATTTTTGTCCACCCCCACCGGGAACACACCGCACCATTATCAATTGAAACACGCAATTATCCATTAAATCAAATAATCAATAAATCATTTTTAACATTGAAAGTTATTTCCTAAATTCTCTAGTGCTTGTAAATTTACAGAAAAAAAAATTAACAAAAATATGGAATCATTGTTTTTTCGAATTCAGTTGACTGCTGTGATTTTTGTGATGGGGATACTGACCTGCGATTGAGTGTGGGTAGAGTAACAACAGGATGATGATAGCAGGTGAGACGAAACTACTCCCAGAGGCATGCCACAGTACTGAAGCCATACTGTGTCCTAAAAATAACGTTGGAATATCGATAATCAGGCTCATTGACCTCGTTATTGAACAATAACCTCTTCTTATTACGTGCATTACCCCTCACTTTGTCTAACAATACTTGGGGGTGGGGAGGTAATTGTATAAATTGGATGAGATTGCTATTATTCGTTATCAGGTGAACACTTGAAGGATGTGTTGTCATTTCAGGGAATTTTAGGCACTGAAAATTCATAATTTGACGAAAAAATCGGTGAAAACTGGGCAGTCTAATGTTGTTCTAATGGTTAATTATATTAAATAAAATTGATATTTTAGATTGGATTTAATGGTAATGAATATTGAATAATATGGGTATTCAAAGTAAATCCATTGAATTTTTACGGAATTTTGGTATTGGAAATTCACAATTTGATGGAAAAAGTCAATTTCAGTTGGATTATTTCCTGAAAATTATTAGAGATCAATAAAATATCAGTAAATATTCATGTTTTTATTGAAAATGAAGGTAAACTGGAGAATCTAGTCTTCCAGAAGCTAAAAAACAGTAATTCCACTGAATTCTCATTAAAGCTGGATCTCCCATAGATTTTTCTCCCCCAAATCGAATTCAATGTCGCTCTCCTCCAAATAACTTCTACATTCCAACGTTTTGTGAAGTTCCGGATCCAGTAATTGACTTCATGCCGTTGGCTCTTAACGAAATAAAAATAAAAACAAAAAACAGAAGAGAAAACGGAATTAACAGTAAAATTAATTGAAAATCTCACCATATCGTCAGTGTCTATTCCAGGTCCAGGAAGAACGAGGAAATCCGATACCGCAAATCATCTGAAAACGTCAGAAACCCCTCAATTTAAACGTCAATTCACGCGTAAACTCCATGAATCGTTGGGTTTGTAAATAGTTCAAGTGTGCACGGTTTTTCGGGCAAGTGGTCTTTCCGGAAACACCTGAGCCGTGCGTCGTAGGTCGGGGTGAATTATAGAGTGCCAAAACCCACCACGCCCTCGACCGGTTACACGCACGCCGCCGTTTCCACCCCCCCACCTCCTTGTCAACCCCCTCCTTTATCTTATTTTTATGCTCCACTCTCACATTTGCGACTTTGTTTTCATATTCTCACTTGAGTTAAGCACACGATGAGGGATAAACAAGGGATAGTTCATTATTTGTGTACGAGTCTAATGAAGGAGTTATAAATGCTCTATTCAATTTTTATTTTTTTTCATATTTAAAACGATTTGAAGAGTTGAAATAATAACAAATTGTGAGGGAATAAAATTTTAGAATTAGGGGTTTTGAGTTTTGAAAGGGTTTGGGAGGGAATTGGGAGAAATGATTGCAAAATAGATCGTTACGTTTGTTATATTTTAGAAGAAATAGAGTCCGTTATTCTTTTATTAATCTAAAGAATGAGTTATAAGTGGTCTATTTCCATTTTTAATTTGTGTATTTTATTTAAAACAATTTGAAGAGTTGAAACAATAAAAAATCGCGATAAAGTAAAATTTAAGAAGTGGGAGAATTGAGTTTTGAAAGGGTTTTTGTTTCCACAGCTTAAAAATTTACTACTAATTTTGAGTTTCATTGATAAAAAATGCGAAAGTGATTTTTATAAGAATTGGGAGTTATGATTGACAGAGGGATCGTTGTTTTCATTACATTTCAAGGAGAATAAAAGACTGAATGGACTCATTATTCCTTTGAGAACGTCATGACTCGATAATAAATGCTCTACTCCAATTTTCAATTTTCGTTTTGTATTTAAAACACTTTAAACAATTAAAATAATCAAAAATTGCAAGAGAATAAAATTAAAAAATCGGCATTTGCGTCTCCACAGCATTAAAATTCAATAATAAATTCTTATATTCATTGATGAATAATGGAGGAGAGATTTCGATAAGAATTAGTACTAATGATTGTAAAATGCGTCTTTATCCTCATTATATTTAAAAGGGAATGACGGATAGGGGAGTCCATCATTCGTTTAAGAACCTGATTAATGTGTAACAAATGCTCTAATTCACTTGTCCAATTTTATTTCATATTGAAAACAATTAAAATGATAAAAAACTGCTAGAGAATAAAATTTACGAATTCGCAGATTCTAGTTCTAAAGGCTTTGCACGTTTCCACAGCATCAAAATTAAATCATAAATCGTTATATCCATCGATAAATAATGCGGAAGACATTTTAATAATAATTGGTCCCAATGATTGCAAAATAAATCCTCATTTTCATTAGATTTCAGGAAAAAAGGGATACGTGACTCTATCATTCGTTTAAGAACCTGATAAATACGTAATAAATATTCTAGTTCACTTTTTCAATTCCATTTCATATTCAAACCCCTTTAAACAATTGAAATAAATAAAAACTGCAGGAGTATAAAATTTAACAATTTTCAGATTCGACTTCTGAGAGGGTTTTCGTGTCTCCATCGCCCCAAAGGTCCCTAATAAGTTGTGATATCCATCAATAAACAATGCGGAAGAGATTTCGATAAGAGTTGTCCCCACTGATTGGAAAATAGCCACGCCCAGCGGAATAAAAACTACCTCATACTTATATGCAGTAGAAAGTGGACGATTCTCCCACGGATGCTTTTCTCCACCATCCAATAAATATATTTTTATCCCTCCTCAACTTCCTGATGATATCACGCATCGATTCCGGTGAATCGCCCTCACTGGCCCCTCGAGAAGTTCCTCAATCCCAATTACCGACCAATAACGCTGACAGCCTTAACTAACAGACTTTAACTTTTTAAAAAAGCCTTTCCCCATTCATGCCAACAGCAACTGAAAACATGGCCGATCCCATGTGCAGGCTCTCCCCCAATTTTCCACCGATAATTAACAAATTGCACACGAAAATGCGGGGAAAATACGACTGATGAAAACGGAAAAGTGGAATCCCATGAATATTCATACGAAAACAGTGGAAATGGTACGTGCTGTGTGAGCCACAAAGGGCGGGGTAATAAGATCCGAACCGCGCCCATGCGCTTGGCAGAGGATGCCACGGATATTGGTCAATAGTTAGTCTCTTTTGTCCGAAAACACGGGCTAATTTCGCAGCACCAAAAGCCCCCAAAACTCTCTCAAAGACAAATTGATCAAAAAAATCATTTAAAAAAATAGTGAACGTACCGTGGGGCTCTGCTAGGCATGTCTGTGTCCCTTTAACTGGCACATATGTTCCCTCGGGTTGTGTTCGAAGCTCTCGGGAACAAAAAATCCCCGAACAACTGATTAATCGTCCTCAGGCGTTAATTTCCCTGCGACATTTCGGTCTGTTTTTACTAATTTTTATTAATTTGCTGACCCTCTGTTGTTGTTGCGACTTGAGATGGGTTGGATGGTTATTCTTGTAAAAGTGTCTTGAATGATCTCGAGGGTTGAGGGTGAGACAGTCTGTTGGCAAATTGCGCACGCTCTACTTCTCTTTGTCCCACTCCTCAGGTTCCGAGTGTGTCGCGTGTTGTTGCTGCAGCCCTCGTATTTTAACGGGTTTTCAAGTCCTCGTGGGGTGATTTTTGAGGCTTTACTGGGTCCTAACAAGTCTCGAACACGTTTGGTACTTGCCACCGCGTAGCGAATTGTAACCAGAGTGCCGTCCGGGGTGGCCTTCGCGAACGAGACGACGTTCCATGGACGAAAACACCGCGTACTCTCTCTCACACGGTTCGGGGTATTGTATGCCTCGAGATTCATGGGGGGGATTGTTAGTGATGTGATGGGGGGCCTTGCGCAGGCGTTACCGCCACCCCCACTTTCATCCCTCACCCTAGTTGGGAGGGACGCGAGCGGGCGGCGACTACAGAGGTCGCGGGGGGGTTGTTGATGGGGAGAAATGCGGGGCTTTTTTGAATTTCGGGGAGGTTGGGGTCTTCGGGGGGCCATGGCGAGGATGTTTTGTCGTCAGGGCGGGGGTGAAGGGGTTCGATGGTCGTGGGAAGAGCGGTTTTTTGGAGGATTCTCTGAAAAGGGGTGAACATGTCTGGAGGAAGATAGCTTAAGGAATTTGTTCATTTTGGGGTAATTGAGTGGAGCAAGTTAAAAGTGATTTGGTGAAGATGAAACATTTTGAGGGATGTTTGAAAATGCGAGGTGGCGGAGCGCTGTGGGCGCCGCCATCTTGCTTGGGGCTTCTAAGATGGCGGCGATGCCAGCTCAATGGCGCCAGCGGCCGGGGATACTCCCGGGGGCTTCGAAGATGGCGGCATTCCCACCTCGTATTTTTAAATATTTTTATAAATTATTTATCTTTGTCAGATCACTCTCAACTCGTTTCATCCGGTTTCTATAAAATGAACAAATTTTTTAAGCCATCACTCAGATTTTTCCATCCACCTTCGGCTGAGAATTCATGGCGCAAAGTTTTCCCCGCATTTCAGTACTTATTTTCAGTCTTGAAACCTCTTAATTATTCAAGATCAATAATTAACTAATTCCAGATGAAGGATTATTACAAATGAATAAGTTTGTTCTCTTTGTTTAAACAATTTTTTTTCATTGTTTAAAATATTTATTTCAACTATTTCCCAAACAATAAACACAGCAAATAAATTAATAATTCATATCTTTCCGTGCGGAAACCCCCTCGAATTTAAAGACCAATCGAAGCTCGAAGCAACTTCTCTCTATTCAGTCCCGTAATTTATGTTTACTGCAGATTCTCGGGACGCTTGTCCTTCCGTTTTCCCGTTATTCCTCTTTTTCGATGGGAAAAAACGGACGATAAGCCCTCGGTTAAGTGGGCCACCGATGCGCAGAGAGGACGACACAGTTTCACAACTCCGTGCCCTCAGCCCCGTATATATGCGCCAGACACGATACAATATTTCTTCAATACTTTTTCCTCCCTCCGATTTCTTTTTTCCTTATTCAGGTTTTTAGTGTGCTCGAGAGAAGGTTCGTTTGACGACACACCCAGGAGGGTGGGAGTCCCAGGGGAGATTACCAGGCCATGAGAAATTGCAACACCTGCGGTGAAAAGCGGAGAATCGCTCTCCAGGGCAGTCATCCCTGGAACTCTGTATTTTTCATGCGGTAGAATTGGAGATATCGGGGCAGAGGGTTGAGTAGTCAGTAATTCCGGGCTTCAAGAGAGGTATAAAAACGGCCCATTGTCGTAATCGTCAAGGGTTGAATAATAATTCCATGCTGTAAGAAAGGTAAATTCACGTGCAACTGCAGAATACAACTTGGTTCATACACAAAATCTTTGACAAGATTTTTTTTTAATTTCCATCGTTTACTTTTTCGTAAAAAAAGTCCTAACGACAAAAGTTTAGTCGTTAAAGGGGAAAATCGGTAACAACTGTTATAATATCATCATTTACTTTTTCTTTAAACTTCATTCTGCATCGCTGTTTCTTTTCGTCGGTGAATCACTCGTTCAATTACGTGATTTAATTAGTCGAAACCAAAATTACGGGCGAAACATACAAGGAAAGTAGAAACGAAGCAATTTTCCCGGTGCGATCCATGGAAAAGTAGTTGAAGAGAAAAAACTTTTTTTTAAATCGTTGAGGAGAAAATTGAAGAATGAAGACTAACGTGAACGCCAAAGTATTGAAATAAAATTGATAATAATTGTCATGCGGTAGAATTGGAGATAAAAATGATAAAATGGTAAAAAGGTATAAAAATGATCACTTATCATAATCGTCATCGACTGAATAATAATTCAATGCTTTAAGAAAGGTAAATTCACATACAACTGTTTATTGAGACATGTAGAATACAACTTGGTTCATACACAAAATCTTTGACAAGTTTTTTTTAAATTTTCATCGTTTACTTTTTCAGTAATTCTTTTCCGGGCATTTTTCCTTCTCCACGTTAATCTAGCTACTAGCCCGGGGGAAACTCGATTGACAAGATTATAAAAAATTTAGTCGTTAAAGGGGAAAATCGGCAACAACTGTTATAATTTCATCATTTACTTTTTTTCAACTTCACTTTGCATCGCTGTTTCTTTTTCATCGGTGAATCACTCGTTCAATTACGTGATTTAATTAGTCGAAACCAAAATTACGGGCGAAACATACAAGGAAAGTAGAAACGAAGCAATTTTCCCGGTGCGATCCATGGAAAAGTAGTTGAAGAGAAAAAACTTTTTTTTAAATCGTTGAGGAGAAAATTGAAGAATGAAGACTAACGTGAACGCCAAAGTATTGAAATAAAATTGATAATAATTGTCATGCGGTAGAATTGGAGATAAAAATGATAAAATGGTAAAAAGGTATAAAAATGATCACTTATCATAATCGTCATCGACTGAATAATAATTCAATGCTTTAAGAAAGGTAAATTCACATACAACTGTTTATTGAGACATGTAGAATACAACTTGGTTCATACACAAAATCTTTGACAAGTTTTTTTTAAATTTTCATCGTTTACTTTTTCAGTAATTCTTTTCCGGGCATTTTTCCTTCTCCACGTTAATCTAGCTACTAGCCCGGGGGAAACTCGATTGACAAGATTATAAAAAATTTAGTCGTTAAAGGGGAAAATCGGCAACAACTGTTATAATTTCATCATTTACTTTTTTTCAACTTCACTTTGCATCGCTGTTTCTTTTTCATCGGTGAATCACTCGTTCAATTACGTGATTTAATTAGTCGAAACCAAAATTACGGGCGAAACATACAAGGAAAGTAGAAGCGAAGCAATTTTCCCGGTGCGATTCATGGAAAGGCAGTTGGAGAGAAAAAACGTTTCTTTTGTTTTCAAATCGTTGAGGAGAAAATTGAAGCGTGCATTGAATTTGGATCTCAACAACGTAAAGTCTAACGTGAAAGCCAAAGTATCGAAATAAAATGGACAATAATTTTCCTCAAGCCTGTTAACTTCGTCATTTAACCGCTAAAACATAACATCACGTTTCAATCTTCACAAAAGAATGCATATTCGCAGGAATATAATATATAATATATTTAATATAGAATTAAAAAAGAACACTTGGTTTCACTCATCTCAATCATTTATCTGTCTCGACATTCTCATATTCCACTCGGGCCGGAGACGAGAAAAAAACCTGTCACAACTGTCCCGGCCCGGCACATCTTTTTCTCCCATATTCAAAGTTCATGTTTCGTTCTTATTTAATTCGCAATGGAGAACTGTCAGAGAGAAAAGTGGCTCTCGACAGGTGAAAAAAAATTGGAAAGAAATTTGCCATTGCTGTGGATTGACTCCCAGCTGATGTGCCGTGAGTAAAGTAAGGTCAATTCAACAGTGAAAAAATGATAAAAAAATATATGAATAAGGGAAAAAAAAACACTAGTTAGGAAGGTGAAGGGCGGGCGGTGAGGGGCATGGCTAGCCACAGTGGTGCATTATCCTAAGTGCGACCTTTAACCCGCCTTGGGCGCCCCACTTGTCGATGTTGTTCTTGGGTGATGAGGGTGACAGGTACATGTACAAAAAAATATTGAAAAACCTAGAAAATTCCAGTGGACGTTTTTTAACATGAATGTTTGTAATTTATTCTATTGAGGTATTTTCTGTAGATGTAATGTCAATAGAATGACTCAACAACGAGTTGACAATGAATTGACAATTCATCAATTCAATTTGAAGATCTGCAGACTTTTTTTTATAAAATATTTTCCATCAAGCTCTTCTTTGAAAAAATGCAGAGTGAAACGGCGGAATTTTTCAATGGAGTTTTCCAGGTTTTTCCATGAAATTTTGTCGTACGTGTAGTGATGAAGGATTGATGAGGAATGGGGGAGGGGAATTAATTTTCAGGAGGAAAAAAACGAGAAGAAAAATTGAATTTTCGCTTCAATTTCCTTTCGTCATTTTTTCTCGCTCGTGGGACGCCCATGAAATTTTGAAAAATAATGGGCAATTATCGAAACGCTTTAACCCGCCTCGGACGCCCCACTTGATAGGTACATGTACAAAAAAAATTATTGAAAAACCTAAAAAATTCCATTACGTTTTTTAATTTAATTGTTTAATAAAAAACACTTCGAAAACGAAATCTGGAGATTTCCATCGCTCTACTCAATTTATTCTCTTGAGATATTTTCTGTAGAAATAATGTCAATAGAATGAGTTGTGTAAAAACATTAAGATCTGTAGACCTGTTCTATAAAATATTTTCCCTCAAACTCTCCTTTAAAAAAATGCAGAGTCAACCTGTGGAATTTTCCAGGTTTTTCCATGAAATTTTGTCGTACGTGTAGTGATGAGGGATTGATGAAGAATGGGGAAGAGGAATGAATGAGCCGGAAGAAAAAAAATGAGAAGAAAAATTGAATTTCCTCTTCAATTTTCTTTCGTCATTTTTTTTCGCTCGTGGGACGCCCACACAATGGAAAATAACGGTCAATTATCATAACGCTATGTACCTAGATCAGTCTAAAGTCTCGTCACCGTGAACTGCCTCAGCCACTTTGCCACTCGTGCTTCCTTGCCCCCGCAAGCCGAACAATCTAAATTTAGGTTTTTCGTCTATTAATTGGACTCTGTTAATTTGCCTTCTATCAAATAAAATTTTGCATTTATTATTTCTTTTAATTTTTTTTGTTTTCTCATTACAATTGCCCTCGACAAAGATTCAAGATTTTGTTTTCATAATTTTTGTTTAAATTTTAACTTTCATTTTCCCTTTTTTTTTGTAAATTAATCCCTTATATGATTTTTGTTATCTTAATTTACCTCAGGTATTTTTCCCTCGCATTGATTTTTTTTTCATTTTAATAATCGTTTTCATACGGAAATATTTATCAAGTTCACAAAAACCCACTCAGTAATTGATTAGCAATAGCATCCTTATTATATTGTTAATATTAATATTATATCCTCGATATTATGCTTTTATAAATAGGGTAAAGGGATTTTAAGGATTAAAAAGTTGAAAAAATAAAGGATTATTGGGGGGAAAGGTTTGGGGGAGGCTAAGGGTTTTGGGATTTTTCTCTCGGATAATATAAGCTGATTAAATGTTAATGAAATAAGAAAGAGAATAATAAAGAAAACATTTTCCACGAAAAAAAATTACAGATCTTGTACATTGATTATTGAAAGAAAAAAAAAACTTGAAGACAAATAATAATTATTAAGGCAGAGACGCAGGGGATATCATATGATTTTTCCATTTCTTCTTTGCGGGGGATTATTAATTCAATTATTAAAACTAGTTGCGATCTAACCCCCTTCCATATTCACCATCAATCATCCTTTCTCCTCTCATCGGTTCTTTTTTTTTGCTACAGAGTGAACGAATAATCGCGGTTGGGGGTATAAACAAGATTAGAGTTAAGTAAAACATGAATAAAAAGTAACAAAAAAAATGCTCATAAATAGGAGGGTCTGCGAGCTATCGATCTTTCATATCATATTTTAAATCCAGACATTTTTCATCAAAATCAATTGATCAACTATATTTCATACGCATGTATAATCGAATTCATCATCTCTGTCTCACGATGCAAGCCCTAGTCGCAATTATCTTCATCCATTGATTTATATTTTCTCGTCATTGGTTATTATTTTTCTTTTCTCATTTATTCGTGGCCGATTATTTTCCTCATTACAACAAAAAAAAAAATTCTTTGCTCACTTGTCAATTGTGCTGAGTCAATTACAGATGGTGGTCTGATTGTATCGGCATTCGATTTTTTCTCACTTTTTTTTCCATGGTTTTTGCCGTTTTTAAATTTTTTTTTCGATTTTTATTTTTCATTTTTTTCTTTTTTTATAAAGTTCCAGTGAAAAGGGAGGCTTGGAGGTTCATATAAATCTGAGGTGCTAGTTTATTCTGTGACAACACAATGTCTGCAGCGTTTCATACGATTGTCAGCTATTTCAACTCCATTTTAAAATTGTTTTTCCATTTGTTCTGGATTCACTTTTTTTTGTCAGTGGGTGCGCATGTGTTTGCATACGTAAAAGTCTACATTTTTCTCTACTTGAAATCTGTTAGTTTTTTGTTCCATTCTCAATATATTCATTAGTGATTATTAATGATTCTCATTAAAAAATGATTCATCTCGTTATGTTTTTGTTGCAGTTAATATTCTTTAGATATTTTTTTTCGTGTTAATTTGCATTCTTTCATTTGAATTATTTAAATCTCCAGAACAGGGGGGATGTCTGGGCTCCAGGGACAGGGACCAACTTACAACCCGCACTTACAACTCTTACTAATTAACTAACAGGCTAACAATAACAACGAGTCTCAACACTCAAAAAGTCGTGTGCTTGTGTGTTTCTCTCTCTTTTTTTTTCTTTTTTTTCCCACATTTTTTATTATTTATCGTTTACCCCATGTTGTTTCATGCATTATCCCGTATATGATCTACTACATAATCATTATGATTTATCAAATCTCTCAATTTAATCATTCGAATCTGTCAACTATCATTATCAATTCGGCAGCCAGTCGAGTGTCAATTATTTTTTCCTAAATACAATGAAGAAAGAAAAGAAAAACAAATTTCGAAAGCGCAATAGTCACGCCATTTGAAAAATCATCTCACAAGTAAATTCAACTCTCACCTCCATTATTTTTCATTAACTATTCCAATTGATTACTGGAGGGTGAGGATAAATAGCATTTTGTAGAAAAATGCAGTAAAGAAAATACAGTTATAGAATTTAGATACGAGTTATTCATAAAAATTTTTCATCTCTCATCAATAATTCATAAATTGAATTAATTGAATGATTTATCTAATATACAAATTGGTGTCCTCGTCGGACAATTCACATTTTTATTCTCTTCCTTCAATTTAATTTAGTCTCATTATCGTGAGCAATATTTAAGTCTTAATCTCGACCCCCAATTCGATCACAATTGCATCATTGATTCGAATAATCTCCGAATCAATGATCAAAAAACTCAACCAAAAAAAAAGAAAAAAAAATGGAAATTTTTTTGAAGAACACCATCAACTCAGGGGACGAAAATAATCGATGGAAAAAATTCAATCGATCGTCGCCCTGATTAATCATTTTGCCTGACCCTTAATAATAATAGTTTCACTGACTGTACACATTATAGACCAACAATAGAAAGTCTAGGCTCTTACCAATCCTCACGCATACATGAACACACAGGAGGATGCCACACGTCTGATTTTTATTAATTCCTTAACTAATAATCAATTTTTTTTCCCTTTTTCAGAATTTTTTTTCCCCAACTAGCTCTAAAAATCCATCGAAATTCCATCGTCCCATTTACCTTTCTCTCACACACTCGTATAAATTTCACAAGCTCTTCTGACATACGCCACACGCATCCTAAAACACTCCTATCAATTTTTTAAATCATCTTTCAGTCCTCAACCAGCCACTTATCCTCGCTACGAGTAGTCTTTTCGTTTCTTATTCTTTATTATTCTTTTAGTAATGAAAAAAAATGAAACAATGAAAGAGAAAAAAAACACGTTTTAAACAGGAAAAAAAAATCTACTCGCCCTAGCTGTTACAACCACAGGCTATCATAACCACTTAACTAAATACGAGCCATCACAAAGGTCCAAACATAATTTTTCAACGTCAATTTTCCTAATTCCTCTCAAACTAATAATAATAAACATTTTTTTTTGTAATTTTAAAAATTTTTCATTCAACTCGTAAGCCCCCTAAATTTCCATAATAATTTTAATCGCTCGTTCTATCCATCTCACGTCGTTCCCATAATCCCCAAAAAATCACTCAATCGCTTGGCAGTAAACAATGTGACAATGCAGTAGTGGTTAACCTTAACGATTACAATTACAATTAACATTATCAATTAATAGTACGGGGTGGATGGGTGGTCACTCCGATGTAATAATAACTAGTCCCAGTGGCACATCACTGTACATTTCATCATTAAAATCACAACAACTTCATTCATTATATCGGCGCGACGCGAATGACGGTGGTGTGGCGATGATTGCAATTGAAAATTAAAAAAAGAAGGAATAAAAAGTTGAAGTGAGACATCTTCCGCGTCGGCGTTGCACCTAAACATTAAATGGTTTTTCCTTAAATTCATCCGTTTGTTAATCAGTAATTGAGTCCTGGAAAATCTACATTTACAATTATTACAGTTATTAGTTCGGCTGACGATTGCCGATGATTTCAAAACGTTAACCCAACGCATTGAGCTGTTCTTGTCGTCGGTAAATGGTGTTGAGGCCCTCGTAAAAAATGCTTTTCTGCCAATTGTTGTGGTTTGAATTTGAATTGAAATAGTGATTTAATCGGATTGCATCGCATTGTCAGACGGAAGTTAGCTCCACGAGTTGTATGAGTCCTGGTACCACTCGTGCTCATCGCCAGCAGGTGTGCCAGTTGGTCGGTCAACAAAACCAACACCACTGCCAACGATACCGCTACCACTGCCACCACCACCGCCACCGTTAACACTCGCTAATCCGTACGTATTGCCCAGCGGTTGTTGGGCGAGGGGCTGGTTTCCCCAGCTGCTCTGGAAGCGACGTTTAGATTCCCCCTGGTTCTGGTGACCCCCGTCAAATTTTCGCTTACCTGCTGTAAAATGATTTTTTCTTTTTGAGATTTATGGACGAAACGGGTTTTAACGGAGGCTTCGGGAGGTGGACTGGTCCTTTCGAAATGTCGGGGGATTCTCATTGTTGGGGCAACGGTTGAGGAAATTGTGAAGGCTTTTTTCGAATTGTTTGGGTGAATGGGATGAATTTTGGAGGGAGGTGAGAGGGTTTTGCATAACGTCTTTTTCGTTTTTACATTGAGAAATATTCGAATATTGAACATTCGGTGGAAATTGTGTTTCAATGGAAAAATTATTTTAACGAAAAGAATTTATACGAAATCCCGATTATTTCACCCCATTCCTTCGCGAATAATGAGAATGAAATTAAGGGGAGTGGGGTAAATTATTGTCTTCAATCGTCGGTAACTCGAGAACGGCAAAGGGAAATTCGATTACTTTTTTTTTTCATTTTCAAGGCACTTTTTTAAGCTTTAAAATGAGCGTTGACTCATCCAAATTGCATCATTCGATCGGAAGATATTTGATGATTTTAAAAGATCCATTTTCCCCTCACGTTTGAGTTCACCACAAAGCCGATCATCTTCAATCTGTGATGTCTCAAGATCGGCAGAGTGAAATTCACCGATTTTTCTTCATGTTCGAGCTACTTTTCCACCCTTCAAATCGCGTCTATTCCTTCCGAGTTACAGACGATATCCCCCTAGTTCCCCCCACTCCCCTCAAAACAAATCACAATTAAAAACGCAGAATAAACATTTAAAAAAATGGAATTACGTGACTGGCAGTTCATCGGAGAGGACACACCTGGAATGGGAAGGACGGGGAGATCTGTAAGCGAAAGGTTCTAGCAAACTGGTGAAAACTGCTCGTCAACAAAACCCCAAGAATAAAAATTACTTAGAAAAAAATAATAAAAAATATTGCATTTGGATACAGACCATCCTCACCTGGTAAACTTCCCTTGGCGCGGACCCCCCCACGAACGGCTGGCCGCTGGGCCCCACGGGCCCCTGATGTTGCGGGGTTGCGTCCCCCCCTGACTGGGCCACGGGCTTGGGGGCCACCGACTACTCGGCCACGGGCCACCAGTCCACGGCCACGACCAGCCTATCCAAACAACACACACCCAAATGTTACCCCATCTGCAGCATCTCTTAAACTTATCCAATTACCTCAATCGTCACTTCATCTCCCGAATACTAATCAACACTAATTAAATTGACAACTAAAAAACTGATTGATATATTCTCAGTAAGTTATTGTTGACATTTGGCACGATATGAAATCTAAATTCATGGAAATTTTCAACGAAAATTTCGACAGAATGAAAGAGGTTCTTGGTGCGACCCATAAGCTGGCACGTGTGAGCAAAAAAAAATCCTCAAATGATAAAACAACGAGCAGGGGGAGAGTGCGGTGTTAGAGAAAGGCAAATAATTACAAAGGAGTAAAAAAAAAAATTTCTTACTAACCGAATCGTGTTAATAACAAGGTTTTGTGCTTTCGATTCGATTTTTTTCTATGCAAATACAGCAGCAGGATGGGTTAGCACAGGTTATCCAGCGTGTGGTGTTAAAGCATATTTTTCGGTTTTTTTTTCTTGGGATTTGGTTAAGCAACACAACCTACTGGCAGCTAAAACAAAAGGTGGAAGCGTTAAAAAAAAGCATTAAATTGTTAAGCGGTTAAGCGGGATTCGGGGGTGCGCGAATAAGCGTGGGTTACTGCTCAAGCAAGCGAGAGAGCGGCGTGTGATTTCTCCGGTGGCTGGAGTCCGATACATTTTTTTACATTATGTACATTTTTAATCCAGTCTCATTCCCATTTCAGCGATTCCTCTCCTAGTTGGGGAACCTGGTTAATTATTTGGGAATTATTCGGTTAGTACATGTGAGATTATCGATGTGAATTTCGGGTTCCTGAAATTGTTGGAGAACTTTACTCGAGGCATTTGCGTCGTGAATTATCAGCAAAAGGGGATGGAAAAATTTTAACGATGGCTTAAAAAATTGGTTCCTTTTGTATGAATCGGATGGAGCGAGTTGAGGGTAATTTGGAGAGGATGAATAATTTTTAAAAATGTTTGAAAATGCGAGGTGGGAGGGACGCCATTTTGGAAGCCTTGAGGTCTGCAAGATGGCGGCGCTCATAACTCACTCATACTCATTTCATCCAATTGACGACGATATTTCAGTCAAGAGGGAATGGAAAAATTTCAACGATGGCTTAACAAATTTGTTCCATTTACAGAAACCGGATGGAGCGAGTTGAGGGTAATTTGGAGAGGATGAATAATTTTAAAAAATGTTTGAAAATGTGAGGTGGGAGAGGCCATTTTGGAAGCCCCTTCGGGGGTGCAAGATGGCGGCGCTCACATTTATTAATCACCTCGCATTTTGAAACGTTTCTCGACATTATTCATCCTCTTCAGAACTTCTCCAACTTGTTTTATTAATTTTCCATAAAATGAACAAATTTTTCAAGCCATCTCTCAGATTTTTCCATTCTCTTTTCGCTCAGAATTCATGACACGTTATCCCCGCATTTCACTACTTTTTTTCTCAGCTCCCCAGACCTCTCCACTTATCCCTTCAATTTTGAAAACAACTCTAACAACAGTAAGCTACTCTACAACTCGAGTAAAGTTCTTAAAATTCTCCAACTCTCCAAAATTAGTAAAAGAAAGACAAATGGAAGCTCAACCAAATATTATTCCTCATCCAGCCAATCTCCCTGGAGGACCTGAAACTCGATACAATGACAGCGAAAGAGTGATAGAGAGGAACGAGGGAGCTAAAATATAGAAAAGACAGGTATCATATCCGAGCCACGAGACTTGACTTCCTATAAATTTAACAATCGTGCGATTTTCGAGAGAGAGTTAATGGTTTCGTCGTCAATGTTAGAAGGGCCCAAGCGATTACTCGACAGTGAAGATGCCTACAGTGTGTGCTCCACTGAGGAATTACCTCTGACCAAGCATTTCACGTTGAGAGACTATCCAAAACGGATTCCAATCATTCCCGGATCCTCGTTTCGGGAAACGAATGGGCAATTCGAAACGGCTCTCCGGACTTTGGATAGACTCCAGGGAATATTTATCAGCAGAGATTCTTGTAAAAGCAACACATGAGTGAATTAGCACACACCAGGGAAGGAAAGGAACTGTTCAAAAAATTTTTCCTCTGAAATAAGGGACAGGTGAGGAGATTAGATACCTGAATTAATTGTCGTTTTTCTCGTTAATTAGAAACTATTGACTTTTTTTTTGTTTTCCTTTCTTCCGTTTTGGCACCGTTATATCACACCCTTGATCGTGACTTTTCCCGGCTATTGCACCGGCATTTAACATTACCGGATTGAATTTTGAAGTGGGTCTATCATGGCTCAGATATGATTAGCGCGGACAATCTGAAAGTGGCAGTGTGTTCGAGGTTTCCGGGTTTTTGCAGCTGTAGTGCACACAGATTACAGGGGGATTCGACGTGTAATAATGTTGAAAATGGGGATTCGCGATGCGTTAGTCCACACTGATAGAAGGATTTATTTAGATACGAGAGTTGGAGAGAATGAGATCATTCAGTTGGTGGTGGTGGATAAACTCTTCTATCAGTGCAGTTGTTCCTCTAGTTTTTCGTTTGGGAAAATTTTTAAGGCGCGTGTCTTTTCATCTGGGCGACATTTCAACTGATTGTTTTTTTGGAATAATTGTTTTTTTGTTCTGCATTGTTTAGTGAAATGCTTTCCAAACAATAATCGAAATATACTAAAAAAATTGAGGCAATTGAAAACTGAATTAAAAAATCCTAGTTAAATTACTGATTTTTTATAATTGTTAATGGAAAGATAAAATTGTGTTTATATAATTGCAGCCACGATATTTCAACTAATAATTGGAGTAATAAGTTTTTTTTGCTGCATTATTTATTGAAATGTGCGTCCAAACAATAATCAAAAATAGTAAAAAATTGAGTTTAAAAATCCTAGTCGAATTATTACCGTTAAATTGTGATTAAATTACTGATTTTTTGCAATTAATTAATTGAAAGAAAAAATCGTCTTTACATCGCATTAATTATTGATGCGTCAGTCAGTTGTTAAATTGAGTTGGATTACGTTGAAATAAAAGTAATAGAATTTCGGTAAATTATCACAATTGTTGTAATTTAAATAAAACGAGTTGAAATGTCGCCCAGTCGAGAAGACCTGCCACCAATTTTAAATGTGTAAACCGGGGTCATCTCCTCCGTTCTTCATTCCCATCAGCAGATTTATTTCGCACGATCTAGTCGAGTCACATAGCCCCTCAAGACAATGTGTATTTACAGTTATTTTGGAATTAAAGCCACCATTGCTGGAGAATTTTCAGGTTTTCACGATTAATGCTTCAAATTTCACGCAACTCCATTATTTTCGGAGATAAAAAGCCAAATGTTCAGTATTTTCCTCAAAAAATTCATGCAATACCTCAATTTCGCGACATTACACTGAAATTTCGTTATTTTACCTGAAAATTCAGGGACTTGACTTGGATTCCAAACATCTTCAGTAAACAATTTCAACCACAACTATGTTAAAAGCTCTCTGAATCTAGCAGGTGACTGAAAAATCTGGAAATTGCAGACTTAAAGCCGTGAATAATGAAATACACAATGTGCCGCAGGTGTGTGTGTTGCAAAAATTGGCATTTTGAGAATTAAAAAATGAACAAGTCATGGGGGGCGAGAGGTGGGAGGAACATATCAACAATCCCTTGCGTCGTGTTAGTCAGCACAAATCGAGTCATTAGCAAATTCTGGTGTTAAACGCGAATTCAGGCTTGTGAGTGAGAAGAGTGAATGAAAAAATAAACAAAAAAGTTGTATTTTGGACGCACGAAGAAAGGAATCCGCGAACACTGTGCCACAATCAAACTACCGCCTACGAAAATATTCAAATTAGATGACAAAATTGTGAAGTAAAAAAAAAATTAAGTAAAATACATTATTCAATCGAATCTAGATAAATAAATGTAAATTTTTGATTGCTTTTCTCTTTCGAATTAAAAATTGTTAGAAAAGGCGACCCACCGGTTGAGGCTGCCTGCCTCTCCCTCTGGCAGGCGGCGGAGGCGGCGCATAATCGAAATAGTAATCTTCGTATCGATAATAGTCATCATAATATGGATCACTGTAGCCACCTCGATAATCCCCATAACCGTAATAGTCGTAATCATAATCTATAAAAACACACATTACAAGTAGACCCAGAGAATTTGTTATCCTTTTTTCTTTCTGTTTAGCCACGGGAATGAACTCTTTAATGTCAAATTTCAATGTTTTTTTTTTGGGTTTTAGAATAAGGGGAGAAAGAAATGATTAATATTTCTCCGGTACTGCAGTGAAAAAAAATGATAACGTGATTTTCATTCTCTTTTAATGAGTTTGCATGCCGGGAAAAGAATTTTTTTTACTTTTTTTATTTGAAGCATTCAAACCAATGGGCTTACTCTGCTGCCGGGAAGAGAATTAATTTTTATTTATTCAGGTTTGAATAGACGAGAGACTGTTTATCGACAATTCTTCTCAAATGATAATGTATTATTCAGGAAACCTTGGAATTGTTATCCCACCACCGTCGTAAAAGATGTGAATTCACCAGATTTAAAGATGGGTTTTAATTAATAGCATGACCGAACTTCGAACACATGAACTCTCGTTTTTAATTTAAAAAATGACAATTCAATAAAAAAATTTAAAATATATAAATCGTTTGTATCTCCTGATTAATCCGTAGGACTTGCGGAAGAAAGGCGCGACAAAAGTGATAAAACGAAAGGTTGAAAGTCAAAATGAATAGATTTAATTGTTTATGCTTTTTTCATTCTGCTTAGCCATGAGAATGAATTTATTAGTCTCCAATTTCAATGTTTTTTGGGCTTTAGAATAAAGGAATAAAAAAACGATTAATATTCCTCCGGTATTGCAGTGAAAAAAAAATGATAACGTGATTTTCATTCTTTTTTAATGAGTTTGCATGTTTAAATCAGATTTAAGTAAACGAGAGACTGTTTATCGACGATTCTCCTCAAATGGTAATCTATTATTCGGGAAACATTAAAGTTTTTACCCCACCACCATCATAAAACATGTGAATTCACCAGATGAAGAAATGGTTTTTAATTAACAGGATGAACGAACGTCGAACACATGTACTCTCGTTTTGAATTTAAAACAATGACAAAACAATAAAAATACATAAAATACATAAATCGTTTGTATCTCCTGATTAAACCGTAGGAGCACTTGCGGAAGAAAGGCTAGACAAAAGTGATAAAAACCAAAAAGTTGATAAAAAATAAAATAAAATAATAATCTAACAATACTTGAACTGTTATCGATGCACTTGACAATCAGTGATTTCCGCTTACCTATTTCCTTGATGGCTGTAAAACAGATTGATCTTTTGCAATAATTCATTATTTAGAGATCTACCAGGGGTCAAACGAAAATCAACAAAAAATGTCACTAATTTACAACATAAACTCTGGTTTTTGTCAGGAATTCTACGTTTGAGGGATGAAAAAAAAACATCAATGGGAAGGTAAAACGGTACTCATGCAATCGTTCGAACCTTTATCTTATTGATGGGATGGGCTGGAGTGGTGAGGAATTGGTACAGTGACAGGGTGTTCTGTTATCCAAACATTAACGTTAACGTTTTTCATTGCACACCAAAACTCAGTAGGATTGCGTTAGTTGAATTGCTGCTTGAATTTATTGAATTTTGATAATTTTTTGGATTTTTTTTTCTGTCATTTGATTTTTTTCCAGGAAATCAGGATGGGAAATAATGAATGTACGTTTCATTCTGAACTTTATCGATAATACTTTCACACTTCATAAATATTTGTATCAAAATTATGATAAATAAACGTTGCCTGTCATGCGCGAAAGCCAAAGGTTTATGAGTGAGAATGAGTGAAATTTCCCAAGAGCATGCGGGGATTTTGGTGTTGAGTTATTTAACTAAAAACATCGAAAATCATGTTCAAATGGGTTTGAATGATTTTTAAAAACATTTGATTGTTTCAACGACTGAAATAATGAGGTAAAATGAACACAACTGAACGATTTTTTTAACAAGAAAAATCAAAAATGTTGAACCGAAGGTTTGACTTTTACTAGAACGATCTAACACGAATGTCGAGAGAGGGGCAATACTCACTGTAATCCCCGCGGCCCATGGGTGGTCTCATTCCCGTCCCAGTGCCACGTGGACCTTGGCTACCAGATCCACGGACTGGCATGGGTCCTCCAATCATGCTGGGATGTGACGGAGAGCCCCTGAAATAATTCATTGTCGATTTTCAATTAATGGAGTGGGGTATTCAGAAATTTTTACAGGTTCAATTCACAATTTTTGGATTAAATTATTTAGAAATCTTAATTATGGGAGAATTGAGAATTGATTCTTGAAGTTTGCTTTTTCGAGAAAAAAAATTCAACATTAGCAATTTATGAATTTCATCTCAAATGGACAATTTTGAGATGAAATTCATAAATTTCTCATTATATTGAAAATAGATAAATTTTGTTTGTCAATATTTAATAAATCTAAATGTTTTAATAATAATTCTCGCATTGAATAATTTGGGAATTCATCAGGTTCTTCGATTTTAATTATTTTAAAACACTTTCATCTCATCAAATGTAATTTTTCCCAAAATTAACTGATTTTTTCATCAACACAAGCTATTGAAATTCGATGATTTATTACAATTAATAATTTGCGGATGAAATTCATGAATTTCTCCTCATGTTAAAAACAGAAATTTTTTAGTCAACATTCAACAAATCTGAATATTTTAATAACAATTCAAGCTTCGAATAAATTGGAAATTCTTCAATATCCTCCATTTCCATTATTCTAAAACGTTTTAATCTTATCAAACCGAATTTTTTCAAAAATAATTAATTTTTTCATCACCAAGAACTCGAGAAATTTAATAAATTGTCGGACGTTCAACCGATTTTTATGTAAAATTCTCGCTGAATCTTTTATCATCACAATGAACGAATGCTTACCCGCCACGTCCTTGCAACATTTGCATCATTCTTCGTTCCCTAGCCCTGAGCATGTCTTCCTTCTTCTTCTTGTCAAATGGGGGCTTTGCAAGTGCCACCTCTATGTGAGAGCCCCCAATCTCCTTGCCATTAAGTTCACGCATTGCCTGAATAAAGAGGAACACAAAATATCACCCCATTCTCACCCGAACAAGATTCTCGCCCAAGTTTTGCGCCCTAGGCACGTGTTTTCTTCGCACAATACAAAGTTGTTATTGTTAATCACTTACTGTTATGAAATATATCATTTTCTCTGATAAGACGAAAGAAAAATGAATGAATTTAAGTACAATTACCTTGACTGCACAGTCTCTGTCTTCAAAATGTACAAATGCATAATCCTTGATCTTCTTCACCCTATCGATTTTACCGAACTGCTCGAAGCACTCCTTCAATTTCTCCTCCGAGCAATCTTGAGTCAAATTTCTTACATAGAGAACTCGAACCTGAATCGACAACATTAAACACGAATAAGTTACATCTTCAGACATTTCAAGAGGAGATCGCAAATTTCAAAATCCCATTGGCCTTTATTCATCTTGCTGATGAGTTTACTACTTCAGTTTTAATGTAAAAAAAATGAGAAAGAATTAGCTTCTGATTTTTTTCGTTGATGAAATCTTCAAAAGTGTCCTCACGGCGCATAAATTATTTAGAGTGGCATAAATATGACTAATGATATTTATGCCACTTAAATATGGTTAACAATCTTCATTTTTTGGCATTTTTCTCATTATATTCTTCCCACTTCAATGATTTATGTTGCAGTGAATTTTAAGGATATCCAAGTACTTTGGCTATTTCTTCTCTAGTAAAATATTTCTAGACCTTTTACAATGATTTTATTATTTAAACTTTGCATGTCTGAATTTTAATCTCGATACTGAACTGTCAGAAAACATTTAAAAAATCGGGGAAAAAATTAAAATGTTTACTTTTGGAGGAAAATTGATGAAATAATTGAAAAACTGCAATTTTAGAAAATTACGAGCATTTTCTATAAATAATTTATGAACAACGAATGTTTTACAATGACGCTGAATATTCATGATTGTTTTCACTTTTCTTACGCAATTTAATTGACAAATTCGATGATAAATAATAAAATAAAATAAAATAAAATAAAATATCCTGAGAGAAAAATTCCAGGAATAAAAAATGAAAATTTCAGAAAAAACTCATTTAGTTGTTTGTGCACATATTACGTACATGTGCACTAAAAATTGAGTCAATCCTTGGAGAATTGCACTTTCGAAAATTTTATTTCTCTAAAAAAATCGAAACTAAATGAAAAAAAAAATTGATAGAAAAATCGAAACGTAATATTTTCTTCTTCTTTACATTAAACCTGAAGTCGTAAACCCACTAAAACAATTGCTGAACGCACCAGGGATTTCGCTATTTCAGTCTCCCCTTAGAAAGAAGAAATTAAATAGCAATTGAACTGAGATTAACGATTCCTTCGACCCCCATTACTAAAATAAACGTACTTTAGCCATGGTCTGTTCATCAGGCTCCTCCTGGGGATCAGCCCAGTCAACTATGATATCACAGCCCCAGACCTTGATACGACCTGTGCTGAGTCTTCTTTTTGCCAATGATGCAGCTTTATGGGACTCATACTCGAGAAAACAGAATCCTCTGTTCTTCTTTTTGTCATCCGGCGAGCTGTAGATAATCACCTCGGTCAGGCCGGCTATATTTTCGAAAAATAATAAAAAATATAGGTAAGCCGAGTGTCCAATGGTTCTAGAAATTATAAATTTCCCTCCCCTGATTGTAATTTTTATTGCCGATAAAATCTCTCCCATAAAAACAAATAAAAATTAAAAATCGTGGAAATTTATTCAAGTTGATCGTTCTCCATTGATAAAAAACTCATTAATGACTCGAATAATAATAAATATTGTAATAATCCCGTCACAGTGTCAGAGTAGTCCACGACTGGGCAAGTAGAAACGAATCTTATTCAGAATCATCTTCAATCGTCAATATCTCAGGATCAGCAGAGTCAATTTCGACGAATTTTTTTTTCATTTTCAAGGGCTTTCATTCACCTTGAAAATGAGCTTTGACTAGTCCAAATCGCACCATTATTTCGAGAGATACCGAAGATTTTCGAATCTCCGTTTTTCCTCAGGTTTAATTTCCTCCCAAACTAGATCGTCGCAAATCTGCAATATCTCAGGATCGGCAGAGTGAAATTCGACGCTTTTTTTTTTCATTTTCAAGGTATTTTTGCATTCTGTAAAATGAGCCCAGACCCATTGAAATTGTTTCATTCGTTCAGGAGATATTGCCGACAAGGCAAAACCTCTGGAACAACCAACCGTTGTAATCGTTTCCACCGACTCAATTCGCTTCTCCTCATGGACATAATCCCTTAACAATAAACATTATTCACCTCTCTTTCCTCTCAGTTTAAAAGCTACCGACAAAACGTGACTTTTAATCCATCATAAAGTACTCCCTTTATCCACCAATAGCAACGGCATAAATTACCACATCGCCATCAACATTGGACGAACAAAACGAGAAATACAAAGTGACTGTGACAACATATGAAACAATAAAGTAAATAAAAAAAAATAGGGCATGAGGAAAAAAAACTCCCACAAGCGACGCACCCTCTCGTCAGCTAAACCCAAAACGAATAAAGATAAATCCATGAAAAAACCCCCGTACGTATTCCCAAAACATTTTCTCTACTGAATGCAGCCAATATTATCATCAAATAGTCCTCAAATTTACGTTAATTTAAACACACAGTGCACACTCCATTGTAAGAGACCAGAAATAAAAGAAAAAAAAATGAGTAAATTGGATAGAACGAAAAAAGTGACGTTCACGTTAACTAATAACGACGGCCTCTCTGTGTCCAGACTCTGAGAGTTCCCATGCAAAAGAATATGACTTATGAATAAACATAATTACGCCCATTTTTTAATCGCGAATAGTGGCCCGGATGGGAACAAAAACCCTCGGGTTTTTCATTCTCCCCAGGTATCCAAGAAAACTAAAAATAAAATAATAAAGGAATAATCACACACCCAAGCAGCCGTTGCATTCCTCAATCATTCTCATGAGATATAAAAATGAAGTAGAGATTGTGGAGAATAGTAAATACTGCGTCAAGCGTGTGTTTGAAATAAATCGAAACAAGTCAAGCACAAATTTCGTAATCAACGTTAGACTCCATTATCAATAGTCCATGAAATGTCTATCCGTTCATTTGGTATTTATCTCGTACTGTGATCACAGCAAATGTTTGATTAAACAAATTGTTAAAAATGTGATGTGAGGGCTGCGTGTATTCTCCTATCGCCCCTTGCACTCGCTCATTCATTCCACAATCTTTCAGTTCCTCCCACGAGGAAAAAAAATATTCTCATGTAAAATTAATAAAAAAAAAAACAGAACTTTAATCCGGATTATAAACTCTCTGCCTGCAGATTTAAGGGCAATTGTCAACTTACGTGCGTGCTTTGTAAACTCTTCGAACAAGTCATCTCGGTCTCGATTCTTTGGAATATTTCCCACAAACAAGCGGTGATTGTTATAAGATACGGTAACACCAATCTTTTTGCCTTTCCGAATCTCATAATCATTCAGCTGTAAGAATAATGTGGAAGGAGAGTGCCAATTAAGCTTGCTCATTTACACTGATTCTCGCCTGCTCATTGGCCGAGTGTTTCTTTTTTTCAGGTCGTTTTTTTTTTGTGGAGGGATCGCGCCAAGTGAATATTCGAGGAATTTCCATTTTTGCATCAAAACAGATAATGGGGCTGTCTGTGGATTGGTGAATTGTCCGGAGTAAAATACAAGAATATGGTGTTTCAGTACGACAGAGAGCGAGTGAGGGTGGGGATGGAGGCACTAATGATAAATCATTGTTAATTAAAAATTGGTAGGTGGATTTTGTTTGTGGGTGGTTGGGAGATGCCTGTCTGTTTGTTAGCGAGCCACACGCCCCAGCGGTCCACACAGGTCTCCCGTACCCCCAAGCTTGAGGCTCAATAAAAAAATAATGTTCACAAAATTCGTCTTGATTTTTTAGTTGAAAAAAACGGAAAAATTGATGAATAAAGTGAATTATTTACTCTGCACCAATGCGCAAATTCTTTAAATAGATAGATTGATGGAGTGTTGTTTCTCAATTTGCAGCAAATTTGAGAAAATTGGGGAGATATTTTCCTCCATTAAATTTTGGATTGCCTTGATATGGGTCGCGTCACGCGAATATTCGAGGAATTTTCATTTTCGCATCGAAATAAATAATAGGGCTGTCTGTGGATTGGTGAATTGTCCGGAGTAAAAATACAAGAATACGATGTTTCAGTACGACAGAGAGCGAGTGAGATTGGGGATTGAGGCACTAATGATAAATCATTGTTAATTAAAAATTGGTAGGTGGATTTTGTTTGTGGGTGGTTGGGAGATGCCTGTCTGTTTGTTAGCGAGCCACACGCCCCAGCGGTCCACACAGGTCTCCCGTACCCCCATGCTCGCGGCTCAGTAAAAAATAATATTCACTAAATTTCTTGGACATTCAATTTTCGCCCAGACCGAAACATGACTTCGTCTCGATTTTTTAGTTGAAAAAAAAAACCGAAAAAATTAATGAGTAAATCACCTACTCGTATATGACCTATTCTCTATTAAATGCCCATATGTCGTCGGCAAAAGAACGATATTACCGGGAAGTAGAAGATGACAGTGAAAATAATGACTAAAACATTGAGATTTAAACATTGACCAGAACAGTTACAGAATAAGGGTGCAGTGAATGCTCATGTCATTCAACTCAGTACTCTTCAGCAGTAATTAGTGAGTAATTAGGCGATTAGCGGAGTTGTGAGATAATCGTGATGGAGACAAGTGGAAATAATGTATTCAGTAGGAAATTGAAGGCTGTAGTTACAGATATCGCTGTAGAATCGAGTCCGGCCGTCCGCAGAGAGATTAAAAATATTGTCATTACTGGAGATAAATGTGTACACGTGAAGCAAAATCAATCGTAATTATGAATAAGACCTAGATGTGACAGGGAAGAGAAGACTTGGACCAGAGAGGTGTTACTGTTTCACTAATAAACCGAGAGGCAAGGAGGCTTCGAAGTAACGAAGGTATCACAGTTTTTTTTTTCGAAATATGCGAGGCTCTCCACTCAGAATCATTTGATAAATCATTTGTCTTTTGACTTTTCCATACCATCTACAACCACTACTTAAAAGCTACCACTCTTATATTACCAAAAAAAACAAAATAATAAAAGGAGAAATGATAAAAAATCAAGTAGGTAGACAGGTAGGTTTAGGTAAGAGGTAGGTAGGTGTGCACACGCCTCGAATTCACTTTACCTGTTAAATTACCGAATTCCTCCAAGATCTCCTCTTTGCCTTTTGACTTTGGTATGTTCCCGACGAAAAGTCGTAGATTAGGAACGCTAATGTTTACTTTCAGACACTTGCCGGGTTTTATTTCGTAATTATCGAGCTGTGGGATGAAGAAAAAAACACACACATGCCTAATTTTGTTCTTTTTTCCAATTGTTAAACAAAACATTTGCGAATTTTGGTCGCATATTTTTCTTTTTTTTTGCTTTAAAAATAAACGAAAACCAAATAATAAAGTAGAAATTGGTAAAAATGGGGAGATTGATGAAATTTTGGAACAAATTTGAGATTAACGGGGGAAATAATAGGGGAGGAGATTTTTCTCCGTTGAATTTTGGACTTTTTCTATAGGGGATACACGTGGCATGCGGTTTTTTGAATCCTCAACTTTGAAAAAAAAAGTTTTTGGAAGTTTCAACAGTTTTTAGCATTTTTATTTTTATGTCAATATTCGGGGAATTAAAATGTTGCGAAAATTTGGGGGATACTGATATTTCAAAATAAATATTCCTCTCAACCCATTCATCATTGTTGAAATGAATTAATTTTTTGGGGAAAATCCACAATTGAATTTATTATTCTCAAAGGGGCGAAATAGAAAATTTCTATTTTTCGTTAAATATTCATAACTTTGAAAAAAATTGATGGAAAAAAATCCTTTCATTCCACCAATAATTCAATCCGGTTAGCATTTTTAAAAATTAATGACATTTTGCCATTAATTAGGAACAAAAAGGTAAAAACTTAAAGAAGAATTAAACTGTTGCAAAAATTGCTTCAAATGATGAACAATGAATGGTTCAGGAGAAAATTTATTTTGAACATTTCATTGAACTTTTCTATTTTGCAATTACTGACATTTTGCAGTGAATTTACTAACCAATATTTTGAATTCTCAACTCGCCAAAGAATTGAGTTCTTGAAAATTTGACCAATCTTCATGATTTATCAATAAAAACAAAATATTTGAGGAAATATTTGCGAAATTGTTGGTCATAAATGTTGCTTTCTTTTAAAAATAAACAAAGACCAAACAAATAATATAAAAATCAGGTAAATTAATGAAATTTTGCAAAAAATGTGGGATAAACAGGCGAAACAATAGAGTAAGGAGCCATATCTCCCTTAAATTTTGGATTATCTTGACATGGGTAACACGTGGCATGCGGTTTCGCTCGATTTCACCCAGCCTTATGTAAACCGGCATTCGCGTGTTCATTAAAACTCATTAGATTTTCAAAATAGCGTTGAAAATCCTGTAAACAAATTTTTGTGCCTCGTCTGAAAAATTTTGTTACAAAAAATTGTTACTCCTGAATTTTTCATAATTTTGGAACCAATTAGATTTGATGTTCTTCTCGTCCCCTTTAATCAATGACTCTCAACTGATATAACCATTATGATATTTTTTTTTATCATTGTTCAGAAGAAGATTCTCCACTCCCAATTTTGCCCACTGAGCAAAGAGGAGAGCTGGAAAAAGAAACTCATCCGCAGGACATGATTAATCACATCAGTCACTGTTACGTTCTGGGAAATTGGTTGGATTTTGTTTTATTATTACTAGACGTTAATAAAAATTAATGATATATCCTTGAGGGGTGGGTTGGGGGGGATTACTGGGGCATAATGTCCTCCATCCACATGCATCTATCACTTGTGCATGTGCATGTAGATGAAAAGTTAATAAAAATCCATTATGAAATAATTTTAATAATGTGGACTGTTCGTAGATGCAGCCTAGGGTTTTTGCAGAATGAATTAAGCGTAAATTTCACTAAAATTCATGTGAATGAGAGGACAAACACTAAGGGCTTTTTAATTTTCAAACGTCACGAGGTAGTCTACTGAAATAAAATTCTACGAACATTTCATCAGAACCAATTTCTGCACTGATTGAGAGAAGACTGTTGAGGAATTATTTTCAATGATATTGTGGACTGATTTGGTGCAGATATTGGGACTAATGGGAGATAATTTTGAAAATAAACAGAATTGTTGATGGGACATCCAATTGGTTCGTTATGGCATCATGTTAACTACAGGATAAAACCAAAGTTCGGTTTAGAGTATGTCTATGTTATGGATGGAACATGTACTAAGAGGCTAATTTTTTTAAAATTTAGGTAATGGCGGGGTGAACATACCTCTCTGACTGCTTGTTGTGCCGCTTCTCGATTGGTAAATGTTATAAAAGCGTATCCCCTGTTGGTGCCAGACATGGGGTCCATCATAAGCCTCAAATCCCATATTTTTCCACATTTCTCGAATAGTGGGATCAGCTCGTCTTCATACATGTCTTTAGGAATTTTTCCACAGAATACCTGGGGTGTCGGAGGATAAATAGGTTTTTAGCAATTGGAGAGAATAATGTTTTTGATGATTGGAGGGGATTTATTCTTTTGGGTTTTTTTAATTACCTCACATCCATTTCCTGGGGTTGGCCCCTCCCAACCTGGGGGTGGTCCACCGTATTTTCGTTGTCCAGTTGTTACGTCCAGTGGGTATCCGGTTCTCTCAAGTATCATCTGCATTGGAAAATTGAAATTTATCATTTTTAGAGATTTTTTTTTTGAGTTTTTGGTGATTGTGGGTTATTTTGAGGGCGAGGGGTTTTAGGGGAGTATTTCTCTTGAAATTTGAAGGGAACACAATCATTTGTGAGATAAAATGACATTTAGGTTGATTTTTAATTGAGATCATCTACAACTGAAGAAATGGATATTTTTAGTGTTCAGAGGGATTCTTCTCTTTCATCCACATCTCAATGAATTGTACTTCAATAAATGTAATTTTTTTGTCGCATTTTGACACTCAATTTTTTCAAATCCTTAACTCTGGAAAAAATTATGTTTTTGGAAATTTTAACATTTTTTATGATTTATCAATAAAAACTAAACAATTGCATCTTTAAAGTCGTGGAAAATTGAACTGTTCCTCCCACAATTTATTTCAAAGATTATCAGTTGAAAATTTGTATAAATTACCTAAATTTTATCTTCATCTTCAAACTTATTCCATTCTCAATTTATATAAAGATCAAGTTCACAAAAATTTCAACCATTGTCAGAATTTATCAATAAAAAAAATATCCCAAGATTTAAAATGTTGCAAAATTGAACGGCTCCTTCAATTTAATTAAAGCGTTATCACTTCAAAATTATCTTAATTTTGTCTTCATCTTCAAACTTACTTTAAAAATTTCATTAAATTTTTTTTCTTTTCTCAACTAATGCCATTTTGCAATAAATTTACTGCCCAACCTTTTTCAATTCTCAATTTGTGAAAAAATCTAGCTTTTTAAATTTCAACAGTTATCATAATTCACCAATAAAACCAAAATATTTTTAGATAAAAAAATTAGCAAAATTGAACTGTTCCTCCCCGAATTTACCCCAAAAAATCCCTCCAAAATTCTCCGAAATTACCTTAATTTTGTCTTCATCTGGTGCTTTGGGCGTTGTACTAGTGCCTGTGCCCTGTCCTGCCCTGCTTTTTTGTCTGTAAGTCTTCATGACACCACAGAGATACGCCGATTTATTAGAAACATGCTCAAGATTGGACTCCAAAAATTGAGTGAGCACACTGAGTGCCCCCTCAACTGGAAATTCCCTAAGGGCATCGAGGGCTCTCTCATCCAGATCAACGTGCGCCAATTTTCCAGTTTTATAAATTTCATCTAATTTAGCAGCCACTTTTTCATCGAGTCCATACTGAATCAACTTAGCGAAATCCTCCGTCCTCTCCACATACTCCATCTCCTCCTTCGACTGCTTTTCTTCCATTTTGAGTTCCCCATTTCCCTCTGCCATAGCTGCAATCCGCACAAAAAAACAACAAATTAACCGATTAATCCCCCATTCTCACGTTATTTCTGTGAACCCCGTTATCACTCTCCACAATTCACTGCCATATCGCCGAAACAAATAGACCCGAGAGAAGAGACAACGCTCGCTATTTGTCTGTTTTGACACGTTCCCCACGGCCGTGACTACTGACACCTCACGCCCCTGAAAGCCGCGCTCCCGAGCCCCGAAAAACCTCTCTAATTTCAGGTTAGGAGCATCTCCCGCGGCCCGCTCCCCAAAAAACCCCCCAGCC